TCTGCGCTGCCCTGTCGCCCCCCCCTGTGCAGTTCAATCAGATCAACGGGTTGGAGCTGGTGTGTAGAGCGCACCAGCTGGTGCAGGAGGGCCTCAAGTACATGTTTCCTGACAGAAGCCTCGTCACTGTAAGTTAGCCTTGTCACTGTAAGTTTGCACCTCGCACTGAATAAGTTCGCAGCTCGCACTGAATAAGTTTGCAGCTCGCACTGAATAAGTTTGCAGCTCGCACTGAATAAGTTTGCAGCTCGCACTGAATAAGTTTGCAGCTCGCACTGAATAAGTTCGCAGCTCGCACTGAATAAGTTTGCAGCTCGCACTGAATAAGTTCGCAGCTCGCACTGAATAAGTTCGCAGCTCGCACTGAATAAGTTCGCAGCTCGCACTGAATAAGTTTGCAGCTCGCACTGAATAAGTTCGCAGCTCGCACTGAATAAGTTTGCAACAAGCACTGAATAAGTTTGCAGCTCGCACTAAATAAGTTTGCGGCTCGCACTGAATAAGCCTGTCAGCTTGCTGAGGGGCTCAAGTACTGTTTCCCGACAGAAGCCTTGTCACTGTAACGCATCTTCCACTCTCCTACCTCAAACCCTTTAGCCTTTAAGCTGTGATGCTGCCTATTAGGCTGTGATGCTGCCTCTCAGGCTTTGATGTTGCCTCTCAGGGATAACTTCTTTCGCCATGCCGCTTTTTTCTTGTAACATCTTCACTCATCGTTCTTTTAGTCCTGCCTTACATAACTCGAGCTGTTGCATGTGTGTCTGTGTCTGCTTGCGTGTGTCTGCCTGCATGTGTCTGCCTGCATGTGTCTGCCTCCATGTGTCTGCCTGCATGTGTCTGCCTGCATGTGTCTGCCTGCGTGTCTGCTTGTGTGTCTGCGTGCATGTCTGCTTGTGCATGTCTGCTTGTGCGTGTCTGCTTGTGCGTGTCTGCTTGTGTGTGTCTGCTTGTGCGTGTCTGCTTGTGCGTCTGCTTGTGTGTGTCTGCTTGTGCGTGTCTGCTTGTGTGTGTCTTTGTGCATGTCTGGGTCCCCTACAATGCCATGTGTGCTTGGGTGTGCATGGCATGGCATGGCATGGCATGGCATGGCATGGCCTGGCATGGCATGGCATGGCATGGCGTGGCATGGCATGGCATGGCACCAGGTGTGGTCAGCGCCCAACTACTGCTATCGCTGTGGCAACGTCGCCTCCATCCTCAGCTTCGATGAGCACATGGTGGGTGCCTGGGGCACATGGTGGGTGCCTGGGGCACATGGTGGGTGCCTGGGGCACATGGTGGGTGCCTGGGGCACATGGTGGGTGCCTGGGGCACGTGGTGGGTGCCTGGGGCACGTGGTGAATGTGGCTGGTAACTTGGCGCTGATAATTCCTTTCTTTCCCATGCCTGTCACATGGGCTCGCATAGCCACACCTGAAGCTTTTGGGTTCCTCCATTCCTCGGGTCGTCACTGTTCCTGCGCCATCCATGTCACACTCCTGCATCATCCACGTCATACTCATTGTCCCGTAATGACCCATGATGCCCCATGCCCCATGGTGCCACCAGGAGCGCGATGTGAAGTTCTTCACGGAGACGGAGGAGAACAACACCATGATGGCGCCGCGTGCTGCTGTGCCCTACTTCCTCTGATCCAAGTGTGTTTTGAATCGGCTCATAAGGTGTGTTGTAAGTCGACTTAAAGCTCGCTGCCGTACCCTATTTCCGCTGATCCAACCACCCTGCCCTACTTCCTCTGATCCAACCACTCTAAGTGTTAGTAGCCCCACTTCCCCGACATCTAGTTTCCCCAGTGCCTCTGCATTTGCTTCGTGCCATCAGCAGTCCTTCTCACATCATGCCACCCCATTCTCTTTCATCGTGTGCCTGCGGTGCTTGGTGTCTGCCCTGCTGGCATCGCAACCCAATTGAGCCCGTCATTATTTCTCCCGTCTTCTTGTATCCCTCAGTGTATGAGCAGCTTAGTCTGAGCTTGCAGCAGCCAATTTGTATAACTGATCCAAGGGCAGACCAGTAAACAAAGCATATCAACTTAGATTCGAAGGGATCTTACATCGTCTCAATATGCGCATGGGACCTGTGATCATGGCCACCAAATGATATTCTTTATTTGGATGAATGATTTTGTAAGTGGTGCCTTGAAATGTGAGAACCAATTCAATAGGTGAAGTGAACAAGTCTGATAGTCAAAATGGGCGTCTTCAAATGGGACGACTTCATAAGGCTGGTAAATGAAAAACTACAGCAATCCTTCATAATTACGCTAACGGGATCTCGAGTCGCGACGACTTCCGTCTAGTTTGCGCCAATATTTGACACATTATGTTCTGTACACGAACCTGAACGGTCACACAATACCGTCAGGCTGGGTTCTCCCGCCCCATTCACGTTCAAGTCCGTGCCGTGCCGCGTCAAAGCCAAGTCGGTGATTCAACCGTCGAGAACGAATTTCGTTTTGTGACGGACGAAACTCCTAGCGAAATGTATGCGGTGTCGTCGAGCAATGATTGCCCACGAAAGAGGTTACTCTTGACGAAAGACTTCAGTAAACCGTCAATACCTCCAGGTTTGCGTCTTCGCTTGTGCTTGCTGTCAACGGCCGCCGTCAAAGCTGGTTGGTGGTGCATGGAAGAATCAGGCTCGGAGTGGGCCATTGGTTCGTTAGCGGCTCGTCATGGCCCCGTTTGGAGGTCTCCAGTTGCAGAAGCATTTCTCTCGAGTATGGAATCAGTCGCGTGCAATGTGGCAAGACAAAACAGACCATTGGCTGAACGTGCCGAACCATAAATTTATGTTGGTTCAAACGGCACCGAGCCTGACAGGCTCGGGCTTCCGGCATTCTCGAAGCTAAAAGCTGGTTTGCGAGCAAGCCACCGAATTTGTCACGGGGGCCAGTGGGGTGGGGAGGGGAAGGGATTGAAGAGTGGAAGGGGGGTGTGGTTGGGTGAGGGCGTGTGGCAAATGTTCACCTTGGTACGGTTCAAGTACTTTTTCATGTGGTCCAAAACGCATATTCCAGAATACAGAGTGGTTGATGAGGTTTCGAGCAGCAACCGAACACTATGACGCACCCTCTGGATGTTTGTGCGCCAGTGCTGGCTGGTGGGAGGGACAGCAGGGAGGGACAGAAGCAGGTGCCCAAGAAACGGCTGGAGCAAACGCCCCCTACAAAACCCAACCCAACCCAGTCCCACCAAAAGAGTCTGCTTGAAGTCCAGTGATGCCGTGACGCGTCAGCTGTATAATGCTAACTCACGAGGTTTGTATTAGCGCAGTAATACACACCCGCGATGCAGATGCTCCTTTGTGTCTTCGTAGACTGCTGCGTCCGCATCTATAATAGTTAGCCAAGACCACATTTAGGTTTCTGGACAGTAACTGTACGCGACCTTCAGTAACTTATGTCTGTCATTTAGGCTGGTAGGAATGTTAGCGGGTCAGGGAGCAGCCGCTTTGGAAGCGGCTGCTCGCATTGGTAGGTGGGACGATGCGACGCAGCATTCCTCATCGAACGGCGACGATGCGATGCAACAATCCGTTTTGTACGGTGACGATGCAGCAGGCAGCAGAGACGGGGAGTGCAGCCGTATTTATTGCACATGTCAAGATGGACTGGGGGAGCGGAATGGCAAACGTTGGAAAGGCTGGGAGAGGGAAGACTGGGAAAGGGAAGAGCATAGCAGCAGTAACCACGAAGCTGGGAGAGTCACGAGGAAGTCTGAAGCCGTTTCTTGTAGCGAGGATAGGGCGAACCCGTTTCGTTATTGCAAGTACCCTTCAGCAAGCGCAGAGCAGTCAGTGGGGGCCTTTCAGTGGGACGCAGCAGCAAACTCGGTTAAAGCACCTCTTTCTGACGCCGCGAGATGCGCCGCTATTTGCGCCGCTAGATGCGAAGATACACTCTCCGTAAACTGCGTCGACACGGTAGACCTAGAAAGGGTGCGGCTTGGCGTTAACGGAGCCGTTGACGGCGCTACTTGCGTCTCCTCCTGGCGTGACTCTTCCGGTGGGGTTCGTAGTAGCTGCCATAGTAAAGCTTGGGACGTTTCGAACGCAAACGAGCTAGTTCGTGGCAGTTTGACCGATAATGGCAGATGCAGGAGTGGCAGCAGCAGGAACAGCAGCAGCAGCAGCAGCAGCAACGGCAGCAGCAGCAGCAGCAGCAGCAGCAGTGGCAGTGTTGGGGACAGGCATAGTCCAACCAAATGCTCGTGCTGCTGGGCGGACAGCTTTGGCGTTTGCGGAAAGACGAGTAGCGACTGTAGACTACGCGACAAAGCTAGCGGCGAAGCGTTGGAGCGTGCACGGGACGGCGCAGGGAAGCGTGGTTGGGATAGAAAGAAAATTGGTGCGATTAGGGTTTCGGGTAGCTCTGCTTGCGCTTCCGCTAACATCCTGACTGCTCCGCATCGTCCCCGTTCCGCCGCCATCTCCCCCTTTTTTCCCGCCAGCCTTCCTTACTTCGCCCCCCTTCCTCTCTGCCTCCCGCTCGTCCTCTCCTACCTCCTCCTCCTCCTCTTCCCCCTCTCCCCCGCGCGCGCGCAAGTCCTCCCGTCAACCTACCGCGTGCTCTCATTCGTCGACACCTTCTGCGCCTCCCCGCTCGTTCCCCCCGACCGCCGCGACAACGACCCCGTCATGGGGCCGCTCCCGGGGGGCACTGGCGCGGGGGGGACCGGCGGGGGGGAGCTGGCGCGGGGGGCAGCGCGGGAGGGGCTCAGAACACCGGGGCAGGAGGGGGAGCTGGACCGAACTGCACCGTGTCGGTTTCCACAGGGCTGTTACCGTCGCAGGCTGATGCGAGCAGCAGCGAAAGTTACAGTTACAACAGCACGGACTGGCGACTCACGTACGTACTCGCAGTAGGCGTAGTTCCAACCGATTTCGACTGGCCCGACCAGACGGTACAGTCCATACGCGTTAATAACCGCGAGATGCTCACAGCAGGGCCGTGCAGGCCCGTGGGTCGGTGCGGAGGCACCCGCCCGTTCGCGTGCTACATGGGAGACGTGTCCTGGGCTCTGCCTGCGAACAGCCGCAACCCAGCGAATAGTAAGAGCAGCACGGGTGGTAACCCGATCGTCAACGCGACGCTGACTGTTACAGTGACAGCGTCCGCGGCGGTCGCGCAGCCGTGTCGGCTCTGCGGGGGATTCCAGCAGTTACCCTGCCAGGTGTTACAGGCAGCCGTTCGCCTGACTGCCGTGCTCGTGCCAGTCACGCTGAAACAGCCGCAGCCAGGCCAGCCGCTGCAGGATCCGGCTCCGTCTGGCGCCGCCACAGCCGTTGGTTTGGCTACGACTGTTGGTTCGGGTGCAGGCGCAGGTTCGGGTGCAGGGGCAGGAGTGGGAGAGGCGACTGCAACAACTGCGACAGCAAGAGCCAGCAGTAGCGGCAGCGGCGGTGCTGGAGGCAATGTTCGCGGCGGTGGTGGTGGTGGTGGTCGTAGCGTTGAGGGTGGTGATGGCTCGGCGCTTGTTGCACTGCAAGCGGGTTTGTCCGCGTCGTCTGTAGCATCTGCAGCGCCAGTAGCGCCAGTAGCATCCGCAGTGCCAGTAGCGCCTGTAGCGCCTGCAGCGGCGGTAGCAGCTGCAGCGTCCGTGCCGGCGGTGGTGGTGTCGTTTGTGCGCGGGCCAAGGGGAGTGGCGAAGGTGGGGCGCGCGCGCTTCTCGTGGAAGGCGCTGGAGTCGACAGGCGTGCACTCGCCCGCGCGCTGTGACGCCTGCACCTTCCTCTGCAAGGTACGTCCCCCTCCTGCACTCGGTCTCCCCTTGTTCTCCCCCTGTGCTCGCCCGCGCGCTGTAACGCCTGCACCTTCCCGTGCAAGGTGCGTCCCCCTCCTCCTCTGCACCTACCCCTGAAAGGAGGGCGCGCGCGCTTCTCGTGGAAGGCGCTGGAGTCGACAGGCGTGCACTCGCCCTCCCGCTGTAACGCCTGCACCTTCCTCTGCAAGGTGCGCTCCCCCTCCTGCACTCGGTCTCCCCTTGTTCTCCCCTTGTTCTCCACTTGTGCTCCCCTCCTGTTCTCCCCCTGCGCTCGCCCGCCCACTGTAACGCCTGCACCTATCTCTTCAAGGTGCGCCCCCCCTTAAACCAACCGTCTGAAAGCCCTCTCCGTCCCCCCCTCCTGCACCTTCCTCTTCAAGGTGTGTCCCCCTTTACCCTCCCCCCCTCCCCCCCTTCCCCCGTCTGCATGCCCCCCTCCCCCCGTCCCTCCTCCTGCACCTTCCTTTGCAAGGTGCGCCCCCCACTGTTCCGCTGTCTGCATGCTGCGTCTTCGTCCCCCCCTGCCCTCCCGTCTGCAAGGCCCTTACCCCAGCTCGTCCCCATTCCCTCCTCTCCTCCTCTGGACGAGCAACAGTGGCTTGCGCGCGGGCGCACGGACGGCCTCACGTCTTCACCATTCAACCCCTCTCCTCCTCCCCCTCTTCCCCTACCCGTCCGCCCACAGCTGGACTCTCTACCCAGCTTCCCCTGTACCCGGAGGTGGTTCACAGCGCGCGGGCTGATGGACGGTCTCCACTGCTTCACAGTCACGGCGCTCAAGGGCGCGCCAGGGGTCACTGGCACCCGCCTGCACCTCTGAATCGACTCACAAGTTATCCGCTTCCTCTTCCGCCGCTCTCCTCCCGTCCCCATCCGTTTCCCCCCCCGTCCGCCCCTCCCCGTGCCCCCTCTTCTTCCGCCCCTCTCAGCCCTCCCCTCTCCGCCCCCCCAGCTAAACTCTCTACCCAGCTTCCCCTGTATCTGGGGGTGGTTCACAGCGCGCGGGCTGACGAACGGTCTCCACCGCTTCACAGTCACGGCGCTCAAGGGCGCGCCAGGGGACACTGGCACCCGCCTGCACCTGTGAACCCATGCACAAGCTCATCCCCTTCTCCTCCCCTTCCTCCTCTCCCCGTCCGCTCACAGTTGGATGCCCTCCCCAGCTTCCCATGCCCCCGAGGGTGGTTCACAGCGCGTGGCCTCACAGACGGTCCCCACCGCTTCACAGTCACGGCGCTCAAGGGCGCGCCAGGGGTCACTGGCACCCGCCTGCAGGCCGCTGCTGCTGCTGTTGGGATGGGCGGAGAGGGGGGAGGAGGGGCAGGGGCGAAGGTGGAGGCTCAAGCACAGGCCACATATGCATGGACCGTTGGTACGTGTGAAGATAGTTCTGTCTAGAAACGTCTCAGAACAGGGTTTGGGTCTTCTGGGGTGAAGGTGGAGGCTCAAGCACAGGCCACTTATGAATGGGCCATTGGTACGTCGTTCCTCTCCTTTAGTTTCTATACACGTCCTTAGCGAACACACCGGCGTTCGCTCAATGCGCAATTGCATTGCATCGTATGGGTGGACAAATACCGCCTGTAATGGCAGCAACAGAGGTTTGCAGCTTCTTTCAATTCGTTCCAAAATCCGCACTCCCCCCTGAAACGCTCTGATGTCCTCGTCTCCTCCCTTTTCCACCTCGTTCTCCTCATCCCGTCAATCAGACGCGGCCAGTCCAGTGCCAACGCTCACGGTGGATCCGCCACAAGCAAGGGAGGGCTCGGTGCAAATCAGCATTGCCTTTGACAAGCCGTGCCCGGGCCTGCAGTGCAACGCCACTGCCTGCGACGTACGTGATTGCTTCTTTGTATATATACCTCGCTCACTATGCAAAAATGGACATGAGGTTTTGTTTGGACCAAGTGACAATCGACCCTTCCTCTGTAACCCCCCTTCTTTCTCCCCCCACCCCCCCTTTTTCTCTCTCCTTACCCCTCCACACATCAGATCGAGGCGTCACCGCAGGGCATAGTGGCCATCGACCCCTCCTCGTTCCTGGCATCAGATGACGGGAGTCGATACTCCGTCACTGCCACCCTGCCACCCGCCACCACCACTAGCACCAGCAACAGCTCCAGCAACACCAGTGGGGGCAGCAGCTCTAGCAACAGCAGTAATTCTACCAGCATTTCTGGCAGCAGCAGCAGCGGTAGCAGTGCTAGTGCTGCCGCTGTGACTGTGGCTTTAAGGCCGGGCAGCTGTGCTGACTCCAATGGGAGGGCATGGATGGCGGGGTTTGACTCTTACGCCGTCATTAGGATAGGTAAGTCAACGTGCACGTGTGCATGAATGGCTAAGATTGGCATGCTGCGGTGCATGTGGCTTTCAACAGTGAAGAGAATGGAGCAAAACGCATGTGTATATGTGTCCCGATACCCCATTCCCCTACGTTTCAGGCCAGTGCCTCTTGATAGTGTGTGATTGCGTGTGCATGACTAGAATAGGCCTGTGCCACCCTCACAAGCCTCTCACCACCGTGCCTTACTTCTAACCATGCCTTTTCCAAGCCATTGCCAACCCACCCGACCCTAACCTCCCCCAGCCCTATCTCCTCCAACCCAACCCCCCCCTCTCCATCCAGACCGCGCCCCTCTGGAGGCCACTCTTTCCTGTGACACGCCCTTGGCAGTGGTCAAGTTCTTCGCCACGAGTCTCCCAGTCACCCATTACCACCTACAGCATGCCCAACTCACCCACCCAACCCTAACCTCCCCTCCCCAATCCCCCCTTCCCTCTCCCCCTACCAGACCGCGCCCCTCTGGAAGCCACGCTCTCGTGCGACACGCCCTTGGCAGTGGTCAAGTTCTTCACTCAGCTCAGAGCCACGCCACGCGTCTCCCAGTCGCCCGTGACGTGCCGGGTGCTCTTCTCCAAGCCCGTCTCTGCCTTCTCCTCCGCGTCCCTCGCTGTTGTCAACGCCACCACCAGCGACCCCCAAGCTGTGAACGACCTGGAGTACCAGTTCCAGGTGGGTTCCTCTTTTCATTTTCTGGCATCGGAGGTGGAACCTTTGATGGGCTTTAATGTGAGTTGGTCAAAGTCAGAGGTAAGATTCAAGGAGTCATCCAGCCAGTCGCCCCCGTGATCTGCCGGGTGCTCTTCTCCAAGCCCGTCTCTGCCTTCTCCTCCGCGTCCCTCGCTGTCGTCAACGCCACCACCAGCGACCCCCAAGCTGTCACAGACCTTGAGTACCAGTTCCAGGTGCGTTTTAGTGAGTACCTGGTCCAGTTGAGTGGGTTACTGTGAGTTGGTTAATGTCAGGGTCAGGCTTTAAGGGTCTCCCAGTCGCCCGTGACGTGTCGGGTGCTCTTCTCCAAGCCAGTCTCTGCCTTCTCCTCTGCATCCCTCGCTGTCGTCAATGCCACCACCAGCAACCCTCAACCTGTCACAGACCTTGAGTACCAGTTCCAGGTGAGTCCTCCCCAACCCCATTTGCCTTCCCCTTTTCTGACCCAAAGTGCCTGCCAGCTTTAGAGTCGAAGATATGCTTACTGTGAGTCGGTCGGTGCCCGAGTGAGGCAGTGGGGTTCAGTCTCCCAGTCACCTGTGACCTGGGAGTAGCAGGTTCAGGTGGGTTACTGTGAGCTGGCTAACGCCAGAGTCAGGCTTGAAGGGTCGGCCAGTCGCCTGTGACCTGCCAAGTGCTTTGCTCTGCTCTGCTCTGCTCTGCTTTGCTCATCAACCACCGTTCCTTGCCCTTGCGCCCCTTCTCTGGCAGGTCTGGCCCACGGGCGAGGGCTCAGTGGTGGTGGACATACAACATGAGAGTGTCACTCACTGATGCTACCTTGCTCTCCTGTGCTAACGTCCACCACTGTTCCTTGCCCTTGCGCCCCTTCTTTAACAGGTGTGGCCGACAGGCGAAGGCTCAGTGGTGGTGGACATACGGCATGATAATGTCACCGATGCTGCCGGCAACACCTGCCAGCCCACGCAACCATTCTTCTTCTTCTTTGGTAACCCCACCTGCCCACCTCCTCCGCTCCGCCCACCCGCCCTGCCCTCCTCCACCCGCCCGCCCTGCCCTCTCTCCCTCACCACACTCTTCTCTGTGTCACACTGTTCATTCCTCCACCTGCCACCCCGTACAGCTCCTCTCTCCTTCTTCAGTGTGCCTCATCCATTCCCTCCGCACACTCTCTGTCCCTCCCCATCTTCGTCGCCTTCCCTCCCTCCTCTTCACCATGCTGCACGCCCTTCTCTTCTTTCCCTCTTCCCCTCTTACCAGACACCACGCCACCAACGGTGCAGCTGAGCGTGAGTGAAACCAGCGCCACAACAGACTGGGTCTACCCCATCCTCGTGGCCTTGCCTCCCTCCTCTTCACCATGCTTCTTCCATGCTTTCTCCCCCTTCTCCCCCCTTCTCCCACCAGACACCACGCCACCCACGGTGCAGCTGAGCGTGAGTGAGACCAGCGCGACCACGGACTGGGTCTACCCCATCCTCGTGGCCTTCTCAGAGCCTGTGCTGGGCTTTAACAGCTCCTCAATTCAGCTGTCGAACGGAGTCATTACTTGGTGAGTGCGATGGGTGTGTGTGTGGTAATGCATGGCTGGGGGACTTTTGAGGCGCCTCGAAACGGAGTCATTATGTGGTGAGTGACGCATGGCTGGGGGATGGGCTGCTGTCGCATGCCTGTGGGTCTACCCCATCCTCGTGGCCTTCTCAGAGCCCGTGCATGGCTTCAACGGCACCTCTCTCTGCATCGGGCATGGCAAGGCAAGGTATGGTATGGCACAGGCGCTTATCACCTGGTGTGAAGGAGTACCACGAGGTGGCAATGGCGGTGGCAGTGGTGGCAGTGGTGGTGGCAGTGGTGGCGGCAGTGAGCAATAGCAATGTGTTTTTGCTGTTTTTTCTTCATCCGTTTCCATCTAACCCCTCCTCCATGCCCCCATCTGCCAACTCCCTTGTTCCAGCTGGACGGGAGTGGACAGGGGTTTGGGGCGGTACTACGAGGTGACAGTGGCGGCAGTGAGCGATGGCGATGTGACTGTATCGGTGCCAGGAGCAACGGTGGTGGACATTGCAGGCAACTTCAACTCGCCCTCCAACACCCTCTCCCTCACTCACTGTACGTGCCACTTCCAACTAAGTCTTGCTCGCACATGGTGGGTTATAACTCTCCTTCGCACACATTGAGTTGAGTCAAGGGTCAACAGTGGTGGACATTGCAGGCAACCTCAACTCGCCCTCCAACACGCTCTCCCTCACTCACTGTAAGCGCCAACACACTTACACACTCTGTCTCTTCACCATCAAGGAGTCCCACCCCTCCTTCTCCTCCTCATGTGGACCTTCCCCCCTGCCTTCCTGTGCTCTCTCTCCTCCCCACTTATATGCACTGGCGCCAGCAGCCACATACACCCCACGACCCCCTCCCTCCCTGTCTACCACCTCTGTGTCCCCTTCGTCTGACTTTTGAGGCGACCCAAAAGTCAGCTTACACACCACGTCCCCCCTCCCTCCCTGTCCACCACCTCTATTTCCCTTTCGTCTGAACCAGACGCACCAGGAGATGCGGGCAGCATAGCGGCGTGGGTGGTGACGGCAGTGATGGGGTGCACACCAGTAACAACCCGCTTCCTCCCCTTCCCTCCCTGCCTGCCCCACCGCCCTTTCACCCCATCTTGTGCACACCAGACGCCCCGGGAGATGCGGGCAGCATAGCGGCGTGGGTGGTGACGGCAGTGGTGGGGTGGACGGCCCTATCTACCGCCGCCGTCTCCCTCGCAGTCACTATCAAAGAATCCGACCCGTCCTCTCCTCCTCATGCTCCCCCCTGTTCCCTATCCTTCCCTTTCCCCCCTCTCTGGCCCTGCTCCCCTCCCCCTCCCCCTGCCCCCCCTCCCTTCCCCCTCGCCCCATGCAGACGCCCCGGGAGATGCGGGCAGCATAGCAGCGTGGGTGGTGACGGCAGTGGTGGGGTGGACAGCCCTCTCGACAGCAGCCGTCTCCCTCGCAGTCACCATCAAAGAATCAGACCCCACCTCCTCCCCGGGCATTCGCATTGTGTCAAACCGGCCCTTCCGTGCCGTCAGCACGCCAGTGGTTGGGGCTGACCCTTCCAGGAATATATTGGTGAGTCTCCATCTCTGGTTTTCTTGAGTTACCATCAAGGAGTCCGACCCCACCTCTTCCCCCCCGGCATTCGAATCGTGTCAAACCGCCCCTTCAGTGCCGTTAGCACACCTGTCGTCGGGGCTGATCCTTCCAGGAATATACTGGTGAGTTTCCGTCTCTGGCTGTCCAACACTCCACGCTGTCACCATCAAGGAGTCCGACCCCACCTCCTCCCCCGGCATCCGCATCGTCTCTAACCGCCCATTCCGAGCTGTCAGCACGCCCGTGGTCGGGGCGGATCCTTCCAGGAACATTCTGGTGAGTCATGAAACATGGCATGGCATGTGTATGTGAGTTGTTCATCCACCTCCCTGGCAGTCACCATCAAGGAGTCCGACCCCACCTCCTCTCCTGGCATTCGAATTGTGTCAAACCGCCCTTTCCGCGCTGTTAGCACGCCTGTAGTGGGGGCGGATCCCTCCAGGAATATACTGGTGAGTCATGAGACATGGCATGGCATGTGTCTGAGTGGTCGGTCACTCACCCCCCTCGCTGTCATGTCACCATCAAGGAGTCCGACCCCACCTCCTCCCCGGGCATCCGCATCGTCTCCAATCGGCCGTTTCGCGCTGTCAGCACCCCCGTGCCCGTGGTGGGGTGGGGTGTCAGCACCCCCGTGCCCGTGGTGGGGGCTGATCGGTCTCGGAACATCTTGGTAAGTCACGAGTCATGGAATGGTATGCAGTGGCACGGCACAGCACGGCACGGTATGGCATGGCACGGCGTAGTACGGCACAGCACGGCATGGCGTGGCATGTGTCTGAAATTGGTTCATTTCAACCCCATCGCATGTCAATTGATGGTGACATGCCAAGTTCATGTGGTCACTGTCATGTCACCATCAAGGACTCCGACTCCACCTCCTCTCTTGGTATTCACAATGTCTCATGCCGACCCCACCCCCCGCCCTCTTCTCATTCCTCTCCCTGTCTCCCTCCCCATCTCCAACCCAACTTGCCCCTAGCGCATGGCACTGCACATGCAAGTCTTTGCTCTCACGCACAACCTGGGGCCTCACTCGTTCTCCCCTTGACGCCCCCCTGCCCTTCTGTGCCTCTCGCAGCGCATGGCTTTGCACATGCAAGTCTTTGCTCTCACGCAGAACCTGGCGGTGCGGGTGCTGCCGCTGTTCTTCTAACCGCCAGCTCACAGGGGGGCTAAATCCTTCACTCTTCCTCTCCATTCCCCGTCCACACTCCCCCTGTTCTCCCCTCGCAGCGCATGGCCCTGCACATGCAAGTGTTCGCCCTGACTCAGAACCTGGCGGTGCGGGTGCTGCCTCTCTTCTACCGCCAGCTCACAGGGGGGCTGCGCTGGACCTACTTCTACATCCCCGCGCCCTTCAAAGGCTCCTTTGATGGCTGGAAGGGCGTGTACTCCTCTCCCACTGAGGCACCCGGGCAAGACAACAGCACTGCTCCACCGTCGTGTGCCCCGTGAGTACTTGGTGTTGGTTCTGGTGCAAATCAATCCATATGAGTCCCACGTTGTTGAGCCATAATCGGTTGATGGCTGGAAGGGCGTGTACTCCTCTCCCACTGAGGCGCCCGGGCAGGACAACAGCACTGCCCCGCCCTCCTGTGCCCCGTGAGTGCTTGGTGTTGATGCCTGTTGGTGTTCATGCTGGTCCTGGGGTCACACGTTTGTGCCATGCTCCTTCGACGGCTGGAAGGGCGTGTACTCCTCTCCCACTGAGGCGCCCGGGCAGGACAACAGCACTGCTCCGCCCTCGTGTGCCCCGTGAATGCTTGGTGTTGGTCCTGTTGCAAATCAATCCGTATGAGTTGCATGTTGTTGAGGCATCCTCTTTTGACGGCTGGAAGGGCGTGTACTCCTCGCCCACTGAGGTGCCCGGGCAGGACAACAGCACTTCCCCGCCCTCCTGTGCCCCGTGAGTTGTTCATTCGTGACCTATTCTAGACAAGCTCGTTCAGTTTGAGTCAGCTTTTGTTGTCGAGACAAGCTCGCTCGACGGGTGGAAGGATGTGTGTCTCCTCCGTTCTGACCTCTAACCCATTGTTCTTCCTCTCCTCCTCCTCCCCTCCTTCCCACCAGGCACTACCTCACCACCAAGACTGACAGCGCTGCCGCCTCCTCCTCCGCCAACCCCTCTCAACCCCTCCGTTCCTACTTCTAACCCATTGTTCTTCCTCTCCTCCTCTCCCCTCCGTCCCACCAGGCACTACCTCGCCACCAAGACAGACAGCACTGCCGCCTCCTCCTCCAAACAATCTCAGCGCCTCCGATTCGACCCCTAAGCCAGTTATTAGTTCCCCCTCTCTCCTCTCCATCCCACCGGGCTCTACCTCGCCACCAAGACAGACAGCGCTGCCGCCTCCTCCCCCTCCTCCAACCTCTCTCAGCCCCTCTTAACCCCTCTTTTCTGCCCTATGTCCCATTGTTCTCCCGGCATTACCTCGCCACCAAGACAGACAGCGCTGCTGCTTCCTCCTCCGCCAACCCCTCTGAACCCCTCCGTTCCTACTTCTAACCCATTGTTCTTCCCCTCCCCATCTCTCCCTCCCACTAGGCACTACCTGGCCACCAAGACAGACAGCGCTGCCGCCTCCTCCGCCAACCCCTCTGACTCGACACAATCCAAGCTCTCTTTCTGGTCAGCGTTCTTCTCGCCAGCAGCACCAGCCAGCACAGCAGCAGCAGATAGCACAGCAACACATTCTCCCCTCCACCCTCGCCACCTCCGCAGCATCCTCTCCTCATCGTTCCACCCCCTCCTCTCCTCGCTCTCCTCTTCCTCGCTCTCGCGCTCCCACCGAGTGCCCGTGCCCCATTCACACACTGTGCACTCCTCTCGCTCTCTCCGCGACCGCTTCAATTCTGCCGACTCCTTGCCACCCCATGCCCATGCCCATGCGCACATGCAAGCACGGCAACCAACCACATCGCATGTGCACATGCGGCATGCCATGTCACATTCGAGCCTGTCGCAGTCAAGCCTGCCCCACAGGCGCAGCTTGGGATCGTCCCGAGCCCTCCCCATCCAACCCATCCCCTTCTCGCCCCCACCCGCCCTCCACCTACGAGGCCTGCCCTTAACCTCTAGGTCTCTCCCCTCCTCCTTCCTCCCTTCCTCCTTCCCCTCCTCCCTTCACTCCGCCTTCCCATCCCATACTCTCCTCCCACCGTCCCTATCGTCTCGTCCGCCCACCACCCACTATCACCGCATGCTACAAGAAACGACCAGCAACACTAGCAGCAACAGCAGCGCAAGCCGTTACAGCAGCTTCAACGCAACTGCGCTGATAGCACTGGCAGCGGCAGGGGGCGGGGCAGGAGGGGATGCAGCAGCAGCGGTGGCAGCAGCGAGGGGGTTTGACCCAACGCTGCTGCCACGGCTGAGCGAGGAGGAGTATGATTACATGGAGGCTTGGGGTGATGCTTACTACTCGCACTTCCCCAACCTTTACTACTCCTACCACGGGTAAGCTTCCCCTCCGTATGGCTGTAGCCTGTATGACCCATGCCATGTGCTCATACTCAGCTGCTGCTGCCACGGCTGAGCGAGGAGTATGATTACATGCAGGCATGGGGTGATGCTTATTACTCGCACTTCCCCAACCTATATTACTCCTACCATGGGTAAGCAGGCCCTTTCTCTCCTCATCCCCTTCCCCTCTCCCTCTCCCCTTTCCCCCTCCCTCTCCCCTTTCCCCCTCCCCTCCCCTCCCCCCTCCCCCCTCCCTCTCCCCTTCTCCCCTCCCTCTCCCCTTCCCCCCTCCCTCTCCCCTTCCCCCCTCCTACTCCCCCCCCTCATTCCCCTTCCCTCCCTTTCTGGTTCGCCCTCTCCCTTCCTCTTCTCCCCCACATGGCTCAAATTACTTCTCTCCATCTCTCTCCCCTCTCTCCCCCCTCTTCCCCCCTCCCCCTCCCTCCAGCTTTGAGCAGTTCTGCACGGTGCTGTTCTGGTTCGCTCTCTCCCTGCTCCAACTCCTCTTCCAGTGGGCGTGGCAGCACTGCCGCTACCAGTGGCTCTACGGCCTCCTCCACCTGCCGCGCTTCCAATTCCTCCTCCTCGTTCTCTCCTCCCTCCTCCCTCCTCCAACCCACCGCACGGCTCAACCCACCTCAAACCCTGTTCTCTCTCCCCATCCGTCCACCCCTCCCCCTCCCCCCTCTCCGCCCCCCTCCCCCTCCCTCCAGCTTTGAGCAGTTCTGCACGGTGCTCTTCTGGTTCGCGCTCTTATTCTTCGCCCTCTCCTAACCATGTCTCAACCCTACCCAAACCCTCTTCTCTCTCCCCACCCCCCTGCCTCCCCCTCCCTCACTCCAGCTTTGAGCAGTTCTGCACGGTGCTATTCTGGTTCGCTCTCTTCTTCTTCGCCCTCTCCCTCCCTCTTCTTCCCCCCATGGCTCAAACCACTCTCTCCCCATCCCTCTCCCCCCTCTCCCCCTCTTCTCCCTCATCCACCCTCCAGCTTTGAGCAGTTCTGCACGGTGCTGTTCTGGTTCGCGCTCTTCTTCTTCGCCCTCTCCCTCCTCCAACTCCTCTTCCAGTGGGCGTGGCAGCACTGGCGCTACCAGTGGCTCTACGGCCTCCTCGACCCGCCGCGCCTCCAATTCCTCCTCCTCGCGCTCTCCCTGGCCGGCATCTCCTGGGGCTGTACGCTGCTCATCAGAGGCAGCATGGAGCCGGGCGGAACTGCGGCAGGGCTGGCCACGGGGGTGATAGTGCTGTGCCTCTGGCCCGTGCTGTTCCTGATATTCTCCTTCTCGGTCGTCTGGTACATTGTTGTCCAGGTGCGTTGAGTTGGGTTGAGTGTGGTTCTTGGGGGTTCGAGGGTTAACTGGCGGTGGGCGTGGTTGTGCTGTGCCTGTGGTCCGTGCTCTTTCTCATCTTCTCCTTCTCGGTCGTTTGGTACATTGTCGTTCAGGTGCGCTGGGTTGATGCCTGGGCTGCCCAGGCTGGGCAGATTGGTGGGTGTGTGGGTAAATGGGTATGACTTTTGAGAATTCTCAAAAGTTCCATTGTTGTTGAGGTGCGCTGGGTTGATGCCTGGGCTGCCCAGGCTGGGCAGATTGGTGGGTGTGTGGGTAAATGGGTATGACTTTTGAGAATTCTCAAAAGTTCCATTGTTGTTGAGGTGCGCTGGGTTGATGCCTGGGCAGATTGGTGGGTGTGTGGGCGACCGTGAATGGGGAGTGTGCTAGCAGCGGGGTGACCGGTCTCAACCTCTACTTCCTCTACTTCCTCTCCCCTCTACCTCCCCAGGAGCAATTCGCACGCTTCTTCGTGCGAGAGATGACAGAGCCGCGCAACAACGCGTTCATCTTGAAATGACCCTCAACCCCCAACCTCACCTTCCGCTCCTTCCCCTCCGTCCCCGCTCTTCCCCCTCGTCAGGAGCAATTCGCACGTTTCTTCGTGCGCGAGATGACGGAGCCGCGCAACAACGGGTGCATCGCCTCCTTCGCCCGCGCCTTCTGGGCCGCGCTCAGGCAGAAGCGACTCAAGGGGCACTGGGTCACCATCACGCCGTCCCAAAAGCACATACTGCCAAGATTCGGCATATTTTTCGAAGACTTCACAGGTGAGGGGTGGGGGGAACACGTGGGGGGGTGAGGTAAGGTGTGGGAGAGACGCAGTGGCTGCAGCAGAAGCCGCTAAGGGGTACTGGGTCACCATCACGCCCACCCAAAACACAAAACACGACCTGTTGAGCTCCAATGAGGCGTGCATTGCCTCCTTCGCCCGCGCTTTCTGGGCCGCGCTGCGGCAGAAGCGACTCAAGGGGCACTGGGTCACCATCACGCCATCCCAGAAGCACATACTGCCAAGATTTGGGATTTTCTTTAAAGACTTTACAGGTGAGGGGTTGTGAGAACAGGTGAGGGGTTGGGACTTCACAGGTAATGTGTTGAGGGATCAAGTGAGGGGTTGAGGGCACAGGTTAGACAGCAGCTCAATCAACTCCGCTCAGATTTGCAGTGCCCTTTTACATGTCAGGCACCCTTGCATTTCTGAAACTCCTGACAGCCAAAGCACACTGAATGTTTGAAGTACCCTTACTTGACACCAATTACCTTTTTTGCCCTCTGTTTGTCGTTCCCCTCCCGCCTCTCTCTCCCCTTCCTTGCCTCGTGCCAGTGTGGGGCTCTGTGGGCGCCTGGGGGGTGCTCAAGGACCGACTGAGGGCTGCTTATGGCACTCTGGACTTTCTAAAAATGGTAAGGGTTGCTGCTTATGGCACTCTGGACTTTCTAAAAATGGTGAGTGCTGCTGCGTATGGCATTCGGGGCCTTTCTAAGAATGGTAGTTGTTGCTGTTTATGACATTCGTGACTCCTAAATATGATAACTGTTGCTTCTGTGAGGACATTCCATGTTTCTCTTGACTGTGTACCCAGGGTAAGTGCTGTTTGTTGAGAACGCACTCTCACACCCTTACCCACATTCCCTTCGCTTGTCTCTGCCTGCGCCTGTCTGCCTCTCTGCCTTTCTGCTGCGTCTGTGTGTATGTGTGTCTCTCTGTGTGTCTCTGTGTGTGCTGCAGGTGCTGGTGGGGGCGCTGGTGGGGGCATGGAGCCCGACAGGCAATGCCGTGGCACAGCAAGCATGCCTGCTCGCCCTCGCACTGCTGCACCTGCTCTTCCTGCTCTTCCTCCAGGTGCGTTCTGTACTCGTTATTAGCGGTCTTCCGTTCTGTACTCGTTGTAAGCACAGTCTCCCTTCACGGCCGCACAGCAAGCATGCCCACTCGCCCTCACCTGCTGCACTTGCTCTTCCTGCTCTCCCTCCAGGACTGCCTCACACTCGTTATAAGCACAGTCCTCCTTCGAGTTCATCTCACAAAGCTAGTCCTGCAGGTGGTGCAGGCAGTGAGATGAAGAGCAGCGAATGTGCTGTGGTCTCACAGTATGCAAACCTCTTTGGACTCAAATCCCTGTCTCCCCACCCTCCCTGTGTTGTTCCCCAACAGCCTTTCACGGAGCGAGGCCTACAGGTGGTAGAAGCAGTGAGCTCAGGAGCAGAGGTGGTGCTGTTCGCATGTGCGCTGGCCATGGCCATCGATTGGGACATGTCGTCCAACTTTGCCGGCACTCTCGGGCTCGTCATGGTGATCGCTGTCGGGCTGGCTTTCATAGGCCAATTATTCAACCAGTGAGTTCTATCAGCTGCTACTGCTGCTGCCATGCCTCGCTCCTGTATCACTCTCCTTGGCCATCCAAATTTGCCGGCACTCTCGGGCTCATCATGGCTCTGGCTGTCGAGCTGGCTTTCATCGGCCAACTATTCAACCAGTGAGTTCTCCCCTGTCAGCTGCTGCTGCCTTGACTTGACTGTCTCCTCGCCTGCATGTGCACGGGCAATGCCACATCGACTGAGACAGTGAGTCCTGCTCCAGCGGATGCTCCATCAGCATGCTCCATCACATCAATCGCATGCTTGGCAGATATTAGCACTTCCTCCTGGTTTTTTGTCAGAGCATCTCACTCATGCCATTCTCCTCCCATTTTCATTCACCTCTACTCTTATTTCCTTTCCAGCTGGGTGGCACTAGGCCAGCAGATCAACCGCATGCTCAACCCGCCTGATGACGAGAGAAGCGCGTCTCACCGATCAATGTTTGACGCGCCTAAAAAATCAACTCATTTCCCACTCCTCCCCTCCTCCCCTCATATATCCTTTCCAGCTGGGTGGCGCTAGGCCAGCAGATCAACCGCATGCTCAACCCGCCTGACGACGAGAGGAGCCCGTCGCACCGATCCGATGGTGACGATTTCTCGGATAACGACGACGATGACCTGGACGACGACGATGATGACGAGGATTTCGATGACGAGGACGACGGGAACGGTGACGAGGATGAGGACGATGATGACGACGATGACTACGATGATGATGAGGATGATGACGAGGGGGATACAAGCTTGGATGAAGCGGAAAGGAATCGGCAGCAGCAGCAACATCAGCAGCAACATCAATAGTAATAGCAGCGGCAGCAGAGCTGATCAGGTCACCCTTCCTCCTCATGCTTCCATCTCTAGTTCCCTCGCTGACGCCCACTTCCCGCTTCTTCCACCTGTCTAACCAAACCAAACCCATCCAACTAGTGACGATCCACCGTTACAGCCGCTAACATGGCAGCCATGTTCGGCCATTTGCTGCCTTACCACGCTTCCCAACCCCCAACACTGCTGTTTACTCCCCAAACGTCCTCATGCCTGACCTCTAAGCCAACAAATTCTGGCTCTTCCTCGCTGGTACCTATCATCGCTGCTGATGTGGTCTAGGTAATGCTTGACCATGTCTGTGCTTGCTGCAACTACTCGCTGCCTGCAAGCCAGATACTGGTACTTGCCTGACCATAGGCGGGTTGGTTGCTAATCTTATGCTTATTTATTAATTATTCTATAGATTTTTTTTCATCTAGGAATACTTGATGCTTCTTTTCAATATTGATGTAAGTATAGTTGGATTCACATACGTGTTGTTTGACATACCAAAGCGAGTATCCACGCCGGCACATGTGAGAAGCGCCCCACAAAGCAGAGTAAGCCAGCCAACCGCTCGGAAGTGCACAGCATCATACTCGACCGCTTAATCCGCCCTTACAATGTACAGTGTGGAATGACATGCACCTACCACCCATTGGCGGTTATCCATTCTGTCTTCGTCTTTTTCGGAAACTCCTATTTTATCCACCCAAAGTTGTTGTCCTTTCATTTGTGTACACAGCGTGCTTGTCCGCATTTCACCCTTGTGTTTCTTGCCAACCTGAAAGACGACGCTACTGGGGCGGGATCCATTTGACCATTGTCCGTCGAACGAGTCGCAGGCTGTGGCTTGTTAAACAGCTATAACCTGCGTACTGTACACGTATCATCCAGCTGGGTACTGTACGTTTCGCTGGTTTGCAAATCGGTCAGGTCAGGTCCATCGCTGTCAAGTCCCAACAAGACTGTAAGAGCGTGTTACACCTGCCCTAATCTCAAGGATCACGTAGCTAAGATCACCATAACCCCAACCCTAGGATTACGAGTGGCAAAACAACAATTTTTGGTGCACATCACAATCCTTGTTGGTGTACCATCTGCAAATTTGCAATGGTGATCCTCTGCGACCAGGCGACGTCGCCTGAAACGACGCGACAGTCGCGATCGTCGGATATTTTTGTTGACCACGTTGACTGCGTTACTGATCCGAAATCAACCGCTTTATTGGTTCGAACTTCATCAAAAGAATGCTCTGATTAGTCGCGATTTTGTTACAGCAGTTCACGACAACAAAAGTTTCGTCATCAAGGATCACCTTGTCTTTGGTACAAAGATGCAAGGATCACCGAGAGATTGGCAGTCACCACGATCTCCCAAAAAACACCAAGATCGGGTATCACGATCTCTCGTGATTTCGATCCTTCCTCTGTTGGTACATCACCTTACTGTACAGTGGTAGGTATGACACTGTTCTGTAAGGATCGCCTACGTGATCCTCAAAATGCAGCAATCTTTGCTTGGGTGTAACACGCTCTAAATACACACGCAAGTACACTCTCACTGTACAACGCCAGCATCTGTTTTGAACTCTCCCTTTTGTAGTGTTGTGCATTGCCTAGTGCTCGCTCGCCTCGCCTTCTGGTGATCGTTCCCTTCCTTCCTGCTGGTCCTTGGGTCACCTTTCTGTTGCTGTACAGACATTTGTAACTTGATCTGTAACAGATCTGTACATATACTGTTGCAAAACTTGATTTGACAATCGGGTCTGATACTGTTCTTTGTTGGTTTGTGAAATTTGGGAGGATCATCCAAATCCAGAATGGTAGCGCGACTCGGTAACAATATGTCCTTGGTTCCTTGCTTTGCGGGGGGAATGGGAAGTGGAACCTCCGCGGAACGAGTCGGTGGTCCGTAGTGCGCTGCACTGTACGCTCGATCACCATGGTCCCAAGAATCGAATCGCCCTAAGTTCATCGGGGACGTTGTGTTTGCTTGCATTACAAATGTTGCCGTCGTGTCATCCGCATCGCGTCCGCTCGGTGCAGTGGAATGAAGAGGAGTAGAGTGGAGTGAACCCATGGGACCAGTGCATTGTTGATGCGATGATTTCGGATAAAAAGCATAGCTTGGAAGTCACAATCCACTCTCGGATGCTTGATCTTCCATCCATCCATTGGATCCACTTCACTGAATCTTCATCTGAGTTCTTCAGCAGCACTATTAGCTCCGTGCGAGTGTCTGCTCCTACGAGCAACTGACATCTCTCTCTCTCTCGTGCTTTTTGGCAAAAGTCATCTCGACTCCCACAAACGCCGTTATTTACACTCTACTATTTGCGGCTTTTGGAAGGTGTCTTTCGCGCGATCGTCGACATCCCCGTTATGGAGCTGAACGCGATGATGCCCATCTTCTGCGGGTCCCTCTTCCTCGTCTCCACGCTCGTGTCGTGCGTCGGAACGATGATCAGCGCGGGCGTGTTCGAGGAGTGCGCGCTCCCATCGGTCAGCCTGGGCCCCGTCGCGAAGCACTTCAACCCCGCGCGCCTGAGCGTGCTGTGCCCGCCTGTAATGGAGGAAATGTCGAAGCTCGCGTACCACTGACCAACGGGTCATGTCATGCGAACGTCACACGATGGTCGCCAAACGTCACGTTTTCCGTCGTCACGTCGTCGCGAACGTCATCGGCATCCAACCGCCTGTCGCTGTCGCTACGGTTGCTTCTCGCGACCGCTTATACCATCGGGTCATGTGCTTGAGGTGTGCGCGATGACGACCTAAATGTGCGACATTTGGCGAAAAGACAGCTTCTGGCTTCGCACGAGATCCGCTTTCACGAGCTTTCTGCGACGCAGTCGAGGTGATCCACGTCGTGTGTTGCCGATTGGCCCGCAGAAGGCTCGTGATTGAACGAATCTGTGTCACCAACTAAGCAGTCTTTTGCGTTGCGACATACGTAGTTTCTTCAATCACTGTGTTGTCTATAGTGTGCTTTATCCCCTATCTTCTTAGCTGATGTAAACGAGACTCAACATAGCTGACGAGCACCTCTCTTAGTACGCAGCAAGCAACCCAAAATTTACCCAGAAATAGCAATAGAGCAGCTACATATTCGAATATCCCGCCAATAAATGGAGGGTGGTGGTTGGTCGGCGTAACTGAGCTGGCGATGAGGTAGGGATCGAACCGAATAGGCTTGCTGGTAAGCGACAAATCGTTGCTCAACACGTGTTGCACATTCTAGAAGAAACAATTTGATTCTCTGAAAATTGCGAAGCTGTGACGAGTGAACTACACTGAATCAGTGTACAGTTGCCAAATCAAAGAGAAAGCGTACAAATACAACACAGTAAATACAACATACTACAAAACTAAAGGTGGGCTATTGCTCAGCACTGATGGAGAAAGTTCACAGGCAAAAAATGGGTAATGTGCAAATTTTTGAAAGCTTGCTTCAGTGCTGCCACACAGAGACCCGGGGCAACAGCTGTTGTGCTGCGGCCGCCATCAAGCTACCTACGGTATCCCAATCCAGCATACCGATTGTCATACTTCGCCCGAGACCTGACCGACCGCTCCTTATGTGAGTTTCCTAAAAGATATGTCTCGTCGGTGTGCCTTGTCTAAAACCACCGTCACTTTCTTTCGCTACTACCATTCTTAAAAAAGGTTGCGTTGCGCGAGTGCAGTGCATTCAACTTGTTCCAAGCCTTGCCTGTCGGTTATCCGCCCGCCTCTGTACCGCAAGACCCAGCTATCCCTGACACTTGCGGCGTTGAGACGTCTCAAAACTCAAAGCCCTGCTCATCGGTTTGCTTGCCTCTTCCATGCCTTTAAAATTCACCTGTCCAAGGCACTCCCAGCAGCTTTTCATCAGCTCACGCGGCGCAGCTGTTTTTTGAGGCACCTCACCTCAAAACTTGCCTATTCCGTTCCCCTAGAATCCATCTGTCCGAGGCTCTCAAGGCAAAAACATCTCTCGCTGTTGTTAGGCCGTTGAGATGAGTGGGAGAAAGGGGCCATGGCTCAAGGCTCAGCAGCCATTTCTGAGTGGAAAATGGCGGTGAAGGGGGGTTGGAAAGGGGGGTTTGGATTGGGGAGTAGAAAGGGGGGGTTGGAAGTGGAAGGCGGGAGTTGTGAAAGGGGGAGTAGAAACGGGGAATTGGAATCAGGAGTCGGAAAGGGGAAGCGAGAGAGGAGGAAGCGAGAGAGGAGGAAGTGAGAGAGGAGGAAGCGAGACAGGAACCGATTGACGAAGGGGGTGATTCTGGGATGGGCCGGTGAGAAAGAGTAAACTGATTGAGAGCAAGAAAGAACCAACCAAGGAGGCATGGTGCTACACTGAGAGAATGCTGTTGAGGAAATACCGTCTGTGCATCGTTCTCGTGCCACCATATATGCACGCACATGCCATTGTTCCTTCCTACACCAGCACACAAACTTACACACAGAACTCCCAGCCATAGCAGCATACCTTCTAAAGCACTGAAGCCCCCCCCATCATATCATATCTCCCCCGTTTCCTCTCAAAACCATAACCACATACCCTTCCCACCAGAAGCTCTTAACCACCAGCAGCTTACCTTCTACACATCTCCCAACCCCCCGGCCTTAAACCCATACCTCCGCACGCCACAGATCGCCAGATGGCTGATGCCGACCGTTGCCACACCTCCATCAGCTCCTCCTCCGTCTGATGGGGGCAGGGGTAGTACCGCACAGCACCACACAGCACCGTGCACCACAGAGCAGCACAGAGCGGAACAGATCAGAACAAGGGCGTTTCACAACAACCAGCATGGATGGATGGAGGCAAGCATACATCACATCATTGGCGACGCCTTTTGAGGCGCCTCAAAAAGACATCACTGGTGACGCCTTTTGAGGCGCCTCATGATGACATCACTGGTAACACCTTCTGAGGCGCCTCAAAAAGACATCACTGGTGACGCCTTTTGAGGCGCCTCACTGGTGACGCCCCTATCATCTCAGTAATGGAGGAGACCAAGCTTTGAGAAGTGCACTTTGAGACGCCACGTGATAGAAGATGAGTATCGAGTCTCAAAGCATGCATCGAATCACTGAAAACGCCCTTATTACCTCAGTAATGGAGGAGACCAGGCCTTGAGACGTCTCAAAAAACAGCTCGTGTTGCGGCATCTCAAAGATCGACTTTTTTGAGACATCTCGAATTAATTTCTGTCATTGATGATGCCCTGATCACCTCAGTAATGGAGGGAACTAAGCTTTAAGAAGTGACAAGATGGTATACTGAAGCCTCAAACCTCAACGTGAAGAGAAGGTGATCCCGTTTGTTGTGGCACTGGACCATACAAAGAACCACCCCTTACAAGTGCAATTGCACACCCATCATCACCACACCTCCTCACCTCGCTCTGCTCCTGCAGCTGCTCCTGCTTAGGCATGGCCCAGCTCCAAAGCCTCAAAGCCACCTACACCGCCCTCTCTCTCCTCACATGCCTCACATCCAAGTGCACCCACATCCCATTCCACCCCACTCAACACATGCTCACCCACACCCCACCCCACCCCACCCTCCCCCAACCCATTGCACTCCCCCTCACCCCTCCTGCAGCTGCTCTCTCTTGGGCATGGCCCAGCTCCACAGCCTCAAAGCCACCAGCATGCATTCTCACATGCTGCTAGTGCACGCACACCCCACCCCACCCCATTGCACCGCTCCTCACCTCGCACTGCTCCTGCAACTGCTCTCGCTTGGGCATGGCCCAGCTCCACAGCCTCAGCGCCACCTGCACCGCCCGGTTCTGCTGCTGGGGTGTTGGGTCCCCACCTGTCAGAACGGGGGGGAGTTGGGGGAAGAAGTGAGGTGGGTAAGGAGCGGGGGAAGAAGTGAGGTGGGTAAGGAGCGGGGGAAGAAGTGAGGTGGGTAAGGAGCGGGGGAAGAAGTGAGGTGGGTAAGGAGCGGGGGAAGAAGTGAGGTGGGTAAGGAGCGGGGGAAGAAGTGAGGGGTGGGATGGGCATGGCCCAGCTCCACAGCCTCAAAGCCACCTTCACCGCCCTGCTCTGCTGCTGGGGGGTTGGCTCTCCGCCTGTACCACAAAGGGGGGCAGGGGGAGCGAGTGGGACAAGAGGGGAGTTGACAGGGAGAGCACGTAAGAAAAGGAATGGCAGCAGCGCCACCTGCACCGCCCAATTCTGCTGCTGGGGGGTTGGCTCTCTGCCTGTCAGTGAAGGTGGGTGGACAGGGGGCGAGTGGGAAAAAAGGGGGTTAGTTGGGTGAGAGGACGTGAGGGAAGATGGGGGGAGAAACCCAACTGTACACTTGCACCGAACAAAACCCATCTCCCATCTGACCAAAACTCCCATCCATAAGTTTTTAGATTTGACCAAGCCACTTTTTGAGTCGACTCAAGAATCACACTACTGCTGACCAACTCACACTCTTCTATGAGTGACAGCAGCTTGGCGACAAACCCTGCCACCCCTCCGCCGCCCTGCACGGGCCACCAGTTGCCGGTCGGCAGAGCCATCCGGGCGGCAACGGCGAGCGAGACGTCGATCCATTCGTCATCTTCTGGATCGAGGGCGTCCAGCAGGCACTGCGCGGCGTCGTCTCCAGGCGGCAGGTCCTGTAGCAGGCCGGCCAGAGCCCAGTCAAAGACGGAAGAGACGGTGGCACTGGTGCACGTTCCGTCCTCCTCTAGTTCCTGCATTGTGGGGATAGAAGGGAAGATGAGGGGGGTTTATTATATGGCAGGCAGATCCTGTAGCAGGCCGGCCAGGCCCCAGACAAATACAGACGAGATGGTGCACGTGCCGTCCTCCTCTAGTTCCTGCGGTGTTTGGGACGGGAAGGGGAGCACAAGGAGAGCGCAAGGGGGAAGAGGACGCGAGGAGAGAGAGGTGGGAATTGTTGGGGGCAGGTGGGTGAGGGGAGAGGGCGGGAGGGCAATTGAGACGAGAAGGAAGGTGGGCCATGGCCCAGTCGATATGGCGGTGTGGCATGCTGCCACCCACCCATCCCAATCCACGTATCTGACACCACCAATCCATCCCCGTTACAAGCATACATATATCCCCGTTACAAGCAGCCTCACTCACATCGTAGTTGAACCAGATAGAGAGGCTCTGCATGGCGCGCAGCAGACGGGGCAGGTCGTACTGTCGCTCCACGAGGCGACCCACGCGCACCCACATGGGCCACCCCACCTGCACGCCCGGGTCATCCATTCCCTCTATCTTAGCCACTGCCCTCTCCTCCATCTCCTGCACCTCGCCCTCGCCCAGCCACTTGGTGAGTAGCACCTGCAGGCCAGGCACACACAAGCACGGGAACAGGGAACAGGCACGGGCAGGGAGGGGAACGGGAGCAGGTGAGAGGGAGAAGCATGTCCATGCCACACCAGCAGCAGTGAGAGTTGTCTCCACAGCAGCAGTCGTCGGGGCAGGTGGTACTAGCACCCCAGAGGTTTAGCTCTCTCTCTTCCATGGGCGCTTGCTCCGCGGCTATCTATCCTCAAGAAGTTTAGAAGCTCAAAACTCACCTCGTGGGCGCTACGTGTAAAAAGAAGTGTTTTGAGACGTGGCTACCGATCCTCAAGAAGTTTAGAAGCAACTCGCACGCCCACGCGTGCTCCCACCTCTTCCTTTCCACTCACCTCCAGCACCAGCCCTAGCTCCAAACCACACCACACCACACCACACCACACCACACCACACCCACCACAGCTACCCACCTGCGCGCAGAGATTCAGCTCCCGCTCCTCCATCGGCGCGCCTCTGCTGTTGATCCTCAGGAAGTTGAGTAACAACTCGTACGCCCACGAGTGCTGCCACCGCATCACCTCGCTCCCCAGCATCGCATCTACAAACTCCGCCACATACGAGTTCTGCTGGGAGGTCCCATTACTAGCTCTTGCCACCACATTAGATCAAACAACACCTCACCACATAACACCACATCCCACCATATCACACCACAACGCACCTGAGCGCAGAGATTCAGCTCCCTCTCTTCCATAGGCGCCCCTCTACTGTTGATCCTCAAAAAGTTAAGCAACAACTCATACGCCCACGCGTGCTGCCGCCGCATCACCTCGCTCCGCAGCATCGCATCTACAAACTCAGCCACATACGAGTTCTGCTGGGAGGTGCGTGGAGTCAGGAACACCGCACTCGACGGCTTGCTACCCGTGCCTGTCTTTCCCACTCCGCCACTCATCACCCCTCCTAGCCCCCCTCCCAGGCCCATCCCAGCAGCCCCCCCCCAAATCCCTGCTGCACCAGCACCAGCACCGCCAGCACTGCCACCACCAGCACCACCTCTCGGGCTCCCATTAGGGGTGCTCGAGAAGAAGCTTCCAGCCCACCCCCTCGCCCCTCCTCCTCCTCCCCCTGCTGCAGTGGCAGCAGAGGGGGAAGAAAGGGCGTCACTGCCGCCGGTGCCTCTCCCTCCGCCCAGCCACAGCGTTGGGATGTCACTCCTGCCCCGGCTGTGCCCTGGCTTGGTTCTACCTGCACCAGATCCCGCCTCCCCGTCCTCCTGCCCGTCCTCTGCTGCTGCCTTTTCACTCAGCCATGCCCCCACCTCCCCTTCACTCCCTCCCCTCCTCCTCCCATCTCGTACTAAATGGTCAGCACCACTACCACCAGCACCGGAACCAGAAGCATCAGCATTGTTGCCAGCACCTGAAGAACCACCTGAGGCACCACCTGAAGGACCACCTGACGCACCGTCTGAGCCAGCACCAATCCCAGTAGCGCTTGCTCCGCCAGCCGCCCACAACCCACCCACCGAGCCTGTCGCCGAGCCTTTTCCCGAACCTGCTGCCGCGGCTGCAGCTCCGGAACTGGCCTGGGAAGCAAGGGCAGAACCCCAACTAGAGGCAACTGCAAAGGCCGCAGCAGCCCAGCCAGGAGCCGAGGCGGAGAGAGAAGGGGAGGGGGAGGCTGAGGGGGCAGTGGAAGCAGAGAGAGCAGGAGAGGAGGTGGAAGAGGGGGAGAGAGGTTCGGAGGCGACAGCTTTGGTGGCTGCTGCTGCTCCAGGGGAGGTAACATTTGGATCTGGCTTGAAGGCGATATCTGAGCCTGTCAACCCGCCTCTACTACCGCTTGCTCCTACGCTCCTCCCCCCTTGCCCTGCTCCCCCAACAGCCCTACCTCCTGTACTAGGAGAGGACCGGGGAGAGTGATGAGTCCCCTCTCCCGCCCCAGGCCCTACCCCAGACCCCCAGAACTGCGCCGTTTTCACCGCAGCAGCGAGCCTCGCAAACCGCATTGTAACCGACTCAACCCCTCTGCCGGTAAACACCATCCCGATCACCCGATCGAACCCAGCAGCCTTGAGCCTCCCACTAGAAACAGCCCTCAGAGCAGCGTGAAACGCCGCCTCGTCTAACCCTAATTCCTGGGCTAGACTCGCAATTGCCATGCTGTCGTCCGGGTGTATATGTTCAAGTTCCCTCATCGTAGCCGCCAGGGTCATTCCTAACAGGCCCGGGCCGAGGCTAAGCTGCAGGTACAGCCGATCCTGCTCCTCGCACCGTTCCTCCAGGCTCGAGTGTGTGGCAGCTGCAAGTCCTTCTGCTAGTGCTACCTCTGCCATAGCTGCTAGGGACATGGGTTCCCAGACTTGGGGTCTACGGGGGGTGTGGGAGGAGGAGAGCGGGGAGTGCGAGAGTGGGGAGTGGGTGAGTGGGGAGTGGGAGTGGGAGCGGGAGGGAGGGCGGTTGGGATGAGCTGGAGAACGGGAAGCAGCAGCTTCGGAAGTAGCCACACCAGAAGCCAGACTAGGCATGGTCCACCCCCCTCCTTGCTGCGCCTTACTCACTGCGTCCACACCCCGCCTTCCCCCCTGCCTCTCCATCCCTTCCTCCTCCCCTCCGCCTTCCCTCCCCTCCTCCTCACCCTCCTCCTCGCCTTCCTCACCCTCCTCCAGCGGACCCTCCCCCTCTCCGCCCTGCCACAGCATGAGCCGCTGCACAGCAGGGGTGGAGGCCGCTACAGCCGCAGCAGATCGCTCGCTACAGGCAGTCAGGACGGCAGACAGGCAGGACACTACAAACGCGCGGCAGGCAGGCAGATGCGCGCCCAGTAAAGGCGCCCAGGACCTGTTGCCCCCGCTGATGCTGCTGCTGCTCCTGCTGGTGGTGGTGGTGCTGGTGGTGGTGGTGCAGTTGCTACTGCTGCTAATCGCGCTCGCAGCTTCGGAACTCTCCGAGCCTCTGCCGGACGTGGTGCCGCCGAAGCTCGAGCTGGGGGGTCGGTGCGAGGGGTGCAGAGCGGTGGAATTGTGAGAAAGAGGTTCGTCTATATCAGGAGTGAACTGGTGCTGGAACAGCACCAGCTGCTGCTGCTGCATCAACTGCATGCTTGGTGTGCGGTTGTGACCAATAGGTGCAAAGGAGCGTGACACAGACCCAGCGGCACGGGGAGAGCCCCTCACACTCCCGACTCCCACCCCTGCTGCAACTGCACCGCCTCCCCTAGTTGATCCCACCCTTTGATAACCCCCACCACCACCAGCAGCACTGGCACCAGCAGCAGCACCGGCAGGACCGGCAGCAGCAGCTGCTGCAGTTGCGGCTACAGCTGCCGCTACAGCCTGCTCTCGCTCCAGCTGTAGCTCGAAGAAAGCGATGCGGTCGAGCAGGCGCAGGAGAATGAGGGCGGCTGTAGCGGGGCGCCACACGCTCACCGCTGCAGCGAGGCCGACAAAAACGAGTATGTTGTCGTGGTGGCAGCGCGAGGCCAGGAACTGGTCTGTGTAGCCCCGCTGCTGCTGGTGCTGCTGCTGCTGCTGGGGTTGCCGGTGCTCCTGCTCCTGCTGCTGCTTGGGAAAAATCAACAATGCTCCCATCAGCACCATCATCACCAGCACCGGCAGCAGCAGCAGTCACAGCAGCGGCAGCAGGGAGAGCAGGGACAGCGGCCCGCAGGTCCGAGCAGAGAGCCATGGTAACCAGCTGCTCCTGAATGCTGCCCTCCGGATCCCACACAAACACACGCACCGCTGCTGCTGCAGGTGCTGCCAATACAGGCCGCCCCTCCGCCCCTCTCCCAGCCCCCTCCTCCCCGCCTCTGCCTCTGCTCGCCCCTCGCCCCCTCCCCTCGCCTGCATAGGCCATGCGGCCGCTCCCCCCCTCCACTGCTGCTGTTGTCAGCGCCTTCCCATATGCCACCTCCTGGTCCTCCTCCTCATCTTCCTCACACTCTCCCGCCCCTCTGCTCCTACTACCAACACCACTTGCACCAGCAGCAGCAGCACCAGCTTCCATGCTCAGCCACCGTTGGGGGCGGGACACAGGCCCTGCCACGTCACCACCACTCTTTCCCCACTTCCCCTTCCCTTCCTCCCTCCCACCCTCCACACCACTACTCCCCACCACTCCCCCACTCGTCTCCCCCAGTCTCCCAGACCCCGGCGCCACCCCTGCCAGCATCCCAGCAGCTTCAGCCAGTTCGTCTTGAATGTGTGCAAACCCTAACCCTGCCAGGTCTGCTAGCTCAGGGGCGGTGGTGGAGGAGATGGTAGAGGAGAGGCGCAGCAGCCCCCCCCTCTCTCTCATGCTCTCCCCCTCGCGCAGACTGCTCCCCCTGCTGTTCACTCGGGCCGTTGTGAGACCCCCACGGCTGCTGGTTCGGCTGAAGGTTCGGTTCATGCTGCTGGTTCGGTTGATGCTGTTGGTTCGGTTGATGCTGTTGGTTCGGCTCACTCGCCCGAAGCTGTCTCTACGAGCCCAAGGCTCGGGCGAGCCTATCCCAGTCCTATCCTCATCAACCCAACCCAGCGACCTCTGCCTTCCTATACTCCCCCCTCCCCCTCCTCCCCCTCCCTCTCCCCCTCCTCCCCTTCCCTCACTACTCAACCAAGCACCTGAGGGGATTCTTTCCATATGCTCCCCCTCCCCCTCCCCCTCCTCCCCCTCCTCCCCTTCCTCCAGCAGAATCTCCCCCTCATCCTCCTCCTCCTCTGCCCAATCTGGAGGCCCATCCCCCCACTGCTCCCAAAACCTCAGCCAAACAGCCAGTGCTACAGTAAATGCTTCGCTGATGTGGCGCTCTTTCAGCCTATCAGAGAGCTCCGTTGCGGTTCGGAACTTCTCGCAGATCCACTCAAAGTCCCGGTGCGCCGCAGCTGACGATGAGGCTCGGACCATTGACCCGAGCCTCCCGCTGCTGCTGCCGAGCCTGCCGCTGCTGCCGCCGAAGCTATCCGGCCGCATCCGAACCAGACTGAACCCACCTTCCCTATACACCTCCTCTCTGCCCTCCTCCCCTTCGTCACCCTTCCTGTACCCTTCATAAGCATCCTCAGTCACCCGTTCATCCTGACCCCCCTCCCATCGCTTCCCCTCCTCCTGCCCCCACCCAACCCCAAAACCGCTTCCCCCCCCACCCACACACCCATCCCCAACCGTCCGATTCACCCCCAGATCCACCTCATCGTCCACAGACTCATCTCCAGCCGTCCGTTTAACCATCAGATCGAGCAAATCCATAAAAAGAAGCGTCCAGTGCTCCCTGCACCTCTGAGCCCTCACCCTCGCAGCCCCTATCGGCCCAAACTCCCGCCCACACTGCCAGTAACTGCTGCTCACTGCTGCACCCCCTGTTAAAATCCCACCCGGGCCACCCCCAGCAGCAACACCTGCAGGCGCAAACTCCCGGTACTGCCCATCTCCCCAACCCCCTGCAGCAGCAGCACCACCACCACCAGCACCACCAGCACCACCAGCACCACCAGCACCGCCACCGCCGCCGCCGCTGCTGGTGGTGGTGCCGGTAAAGTCAAAGGGCGTGGGGGGGGCAGAGCGCTGGGAGGCTGAGAAGCCTGAGAAACCCAAGGGGCCAGAGAGGCCTGAGGGACCCGAGGGACCTGGGGAGTCTGAGGGGGCTGAGAGGAGAAGAGGGCGGAACTGGAAACCAGAACTGGTGGGGCGACTGGTGGTGTGAACCGCGTTGAGAGGCAGTAGCTGGGGATCCCTTTGAGAGGCTTCGAGGTTGCCTTTCAACGGGTCACCGATGCCGTTCAAAGGTTCGCCCTGCTTGCTCTCCCTGCCCTTCTCTGCCTGCTTTTGACACGCCTCAAGAGTCTGCTTGACCTGTTCTGCTTGCTCCTCCCGGCCGCTGTGAGCGTCGGACCGCTCCTGCTCGCCCCTCACTCGGATCCTCTTGCCTGTGAACACAAGCTGTGAAGTTCCCCCCTTCTCCTCCCCTCCCTCCTCCTCCCCCCCCCCTCCTCCCCCTCCTCCTCCCTTTCCGCCTCTGGCTTTCCTTGAATGGTAGCCGGCCCTGGAATGGTAGCCGGCCCTGGAATGGTAGACGGCCCTGGGGCGGTAGAGAGGGGTTCTGAGAGGTCAGAATGGAGAGCTGAGGGGTTAGATAGGGTGAAGAGCGGGGTGACGGGCCGCACTGGGACGCGCACTGCAAGCAGGGGGCTTGCAAAGTCAAACTCGTCCGTGCTGCTGACCTGTCCGTTGCTGACCTGTCCGTTGCTGACCTGTGCGTTGTTGACCTGCGTTGACCCCGTTGACCCTACTACCTCTGCTGGTCTTTCTGCCTCTGCAGAATCCCTTGACCCTACTGCTGACCCCGTTGACCCTGTTGACTCCAATACTGGAACCGCATTTCCCAAATCTGTCATGGTGAAATCTCTAGGCAGACCTGGCGTGGCAGCAGCACCGTTTTCAGATGCCTCAGAAGGCTTCCCCAGATCTACCAAGGTAAAATCGCGGGCCAAACCAGGCGCAGCAGCAGCAGCAGCGGTAGGCAAAGTTCCCTCTGTAAGATTTCCAGACACTCCAGCTTCAGGGGTGGCTGCCTGTGCCGTTCCCTCTCCCTCTGCCACACTCCCCACCTCTGGCCCCCTCACTTTTGTTTCCTCTCTCCCTTTCCCCCTCTCCTGCTCTCTCTCTTTCTCCGTCTTCTTCTCCCTCCCTTTCACGACCCCTAGCTTGGTCCACTCTATCACACCTTCCAATGCTTCTGCCTCTCCATCCCTCTCCTCTCCATCCCTCTCCTCTACACCCTTATCCTCTTGAATCCTCTCCTCTTCTATTCTGCCCTCTTCGATCGTACACTCGTGTTTCCCCCCTCCTCTTTTCTCCTCTTCCATTCTCTCCACTTCCCCTCTCGTCTCATTCCCCCTCGCATCCTTCCCCTTCCCATCCCTCCTCCCCTCCCTCTTCTCCCCTTCCTTCCTCCCTTCCTTCCTCCCATCTTTCCTTCTCCTAGAAGACACCTCACCTCCTCCCTCCTCCTCCATTCCTCCAACAACCCCATTCCGCCTGCTACTGCTCTTCTCCAACCTTCTCACATCGCTACTGCTCGGACTCACAATCTCCCCCGTTCCCCTGCTACTACTCTTCCCCATCCTCCTCCCATCACTAATGTTCGGACTCACAATCTCACCTGTTCGCCTGCTACTGCTCTTCCCCAACCGTCTCCCATCACTACTGCTTGGACTCACAATCTCCTCCGTTCCCCTGCTACCACCACCCTCCCTCCTGCTACTGCTCTTCCCCATTTTTCTCCCATCACTTGGACTCACCACCTGCCCCGTTCCCCTACTACTGCCACTCTCCCTCGTACTACCACCACCAACCTCTCTCCTACTACTGCCACTCTCCCTCCTGCTGCCACCAAGCTCCCTCCTTAGCTCTCGCCCACCGGTAACCCCCTCCTTCCAGCTGCTGCTAGGGCTTTCCATGGGGCTTATGCTGCCGTATGTCACTGTATCGAAGCTAGTACTCGCATTGCTCTCTGTCCTCGTTACAGAGCTCTCTGACCTCGTTATAGAGCTTGCTGCGTTACTGTCTGTCCTCTCTACAGACCTTGATACGCTGCTACTAGGGCTAATAGCAGCAGCAGCAGCATCGCCACTGGTGCTCTTCTTTCCCTTGTGCTTCTTTTCGGTCTTTTCTGTCTTTTCCGTCTTCTCTCTCTTCTCTGTCTTCTCTGTCTTGACCTTAACCACACCCTGCTCACCCTTCATACTCTTGCTCTTCCTTAAAGCTTTGCCACTGCTGCTGCTTCTCATACTATCGCTTCTCATGCTATTTTGCCTCTTACTATAATCACTTCTAGTAATATCGTCACTTCTCATAGTATCACTTCTCATACTGTCACTTATCACACTGCTTCCCCCCACACTATCACTTCTACTACTCAATACACGCAGCGCCGCACTCCTGTCCCCGTCCCTCTCTGTTTCCCCTCCCACCATTCTCCCCTCTCCCTCCCTCACTCCCCCCACTTCCTCTCCTGCTCCTCCCTCTTCCTCTCGAATCCCTGCAGTAGCAGCTTCCCTATCAACCCTCTTCTCTCCGTCTTTCTCTCTCCTTTCTTTCCTCTCCTTTTTCTCCCTCCTTTCCCTCCTCTCCCTCCTCTCCCTTCTCTCCCTACTCTTTTCATCCTCTTCCTCCACCACCACCCCTTGCATCTCGCCTCCTCCCTCTCTACCTCCACTCTCACTCCCCTCACAAGCAGCAGACAACTTCTGAGGCGCATCAGAAGTCGTTTCCTCTCTGTTTCCCCCAGCACTCCCCTCACACGCATCAGACGTATGCTCTGCCAAATCTCCCCCTTCCTCTTGCGTACTCCCCCCTCCTCCTTGAAAACTCCCCCCTCCCTCTTGAAAACTCCCCCCTCCCTCTTGCAAACTCCCCCCTCTCTCTTGCAAACTTCCCCCTCCCCCTTGCAAACTCCCTGCATCACCGTTTCCCGCCAGAGTCTCCCGTCCGGGTCCCCCACCCGCCCTGTCACGAGCTAATTGGCCAGCCTCTGCTGGAAGCAACACTGCTTCCCCTGATACGCTTCGAACCTCCTCCTCCCCAACCCCCTCACCTCCTGCCCTACCCTCCCTCACTCCAACCTCCCTCACTCCTGTCTCTCCCGCTCCAACAATCCTCTCTCCAATCCCCCGCACTCCGATCCCGCTCGCCCTCTCCCACTCCTCAAGCTCCAATCGCCCTTCCCACTCCGAATCCTCCCCCTCTCCATCCCCTCCCCCTCCCATACCACCATCCAAGCCACCACCACCACCACTACTGCCACCACCACCATCACCACCCCCTTTCCTCTCACCTCCCCCACCCGCCAGCATCCTTTCAAAATCCAACGCTGCTAGACTCTTCCCTCTCATAGAACTAGATCCAGCCAGCCGCCTCTTAGCTTGCAGCAAAGGGCTGTTAGCCCCTGTCGCCCCACCTCCTCCTGCTACAGCAGCTGCTGCCGCTGCTGCAGCTGCTGCCATCGCAGCACCGGCCGAACCTCCTCGGAACGACCGGGAGTGCAGAACCGAGCCTCGGAGCCCCGAGCCTGACCCTGCCGAACCTGCTCCTGCCAAACCTCCCGAGGTTCCGAGCCCAAAATCGTCCCCTCCTGCAGCAGCAGCTTCCCTCCACCCTCCTTTTCCCCCAGGGACTCTGGGAACCCTCCTTACAGTCACCATGGCATCTACAGTGGTGCTTGCCCCGTTTAAAAGTGACTGGGAATGGTGATGCTGCTGCTGCTGTTGCTGTTGCTGTGTGACGGAAGGACCAGGCTGGAAGCGGGAGGAAGGAGGGGAGGCGTGAGAGGTGGTGGCGTGTACCCAAGGGTGGGCGGCAGGGGGGAGATCAAATCCAGACTTGGACACGGGGATGTGTGGCGAGGGGTGGGACGGCATAGCTGCTAGAAGCCGCGATGGGGACATGGATGGTGAGAGCAACGCCGATGCCGACGCTGAGGCCGATGCCGACGCTGAGGCTGATGCCGAGCCTGATACCGAGGCTGATGCCGAGGCTGATACGGATTGGGTATGGGTAGCCGGGGGAAGTGTATGCGCGGGTGAGAGGGGAGCAGCAGGGCTACCAGAGCGACCATCTGGCTTCACCTCAAGCCTTCCTTCTGAGAGGGATGACGACCGAGAGGGGCGGGGAGGGCAGAGGGGTGATCGGGCCGGGGTCCCCGAGGGTGAGTGCCCAGGTGAAAACGCAGGCGACATACCAGGTGATCTGCCAGGTGAAACGCCGACCAGCTCCGCTCCTTCACTCCCTCCTCGCCCCCGCACGTGCCCTGCTGGTGCCATGTCTGGGAACCGCCCTCCTGCAATACGCCCTGCCCCAGGTCGCACCTGCCCTTCCGCCCCTTCCGTCCCTTCCATCCCTACCTGCCCTTCCATCCCTTCCTGCCCATCCTTCAATCCCCTGGTCCCTCCCTGGTTCATGTGAGGCGTATTACTCGCCACTGGAAACTCGTTAGTGTCAGATGCGCTACTTGCAGCAGGGTGGCTGGAAAACACATCTCGAGAATGAGTAGAAACAGCCGTGCTACCATCACCTGTAACCCCCTCGTCCTCCTCTATGCTACACAGGCTGCTCCTCACACTCCCACTGCCGCTCCTGCTCCTCCTCCTCTCACACACCATCCCCTCTCCATGCCAAACCCTTTCCTTCTCCCTTTCTCCTTCCTTTCCCCGTCCCTCCTCTCTCCCCCCCTCCGCCACACCCTCCCCCATTCGCTCCCCTCCGGAAATCCCCCGGCCCTGATTCGCATTCTCCCTTGACTCACGCTCACTCCCCCCATTCTCACCGTCCATCCCCTCTCTCAAGCCTCCCTCCCTCTCTCCCCCCTTCTCCTTCTCGCTGCCGTCAGCCCTCCCTGCGTCCTCTCCGTCTCTTACCCGCTGCATGGCCCGCCTAAGAGCTATGGCCTCCATTAACGAGCTCGGCTCGCGGACTTCGTCGTCTAACGCCATGCCCTCATCGCTGCCTTGATCATCCTCAATATCAGCCTCCTCGATATTCGGATCTCCGCCGCCAGTAGCTATTCCCTGCTCTTTCCTCCCAGCTTCGTCCTTGTTACCGTTGTCTTGTCCTACTACCCCCTTCCGCGGCGATTTCCCGGAGCTTCCCCCAGCTTCCCCGCTCCCCGGTTCCCCTTGCACATCTTCTGCCCCTTCCTCCGCCATCCCCCCTTCCCCGGCCCCCTTCATCCTCCGGCTCCGCAGGCGGTGGATGCGCTCCGCGCGCTCCGCCATGTCCTCGGGTTCCCAGTCCCCCGCCACCATTCCGCTGTGCGGAAAGAAGCACGCGCGGAAGCTCCCCGCGCCCATCGTCGCTCGGCGCAGCGCGCGGGCCTTGCTCTTACTCTTGCGCGCCCTTACCCCGCTCGCGGAACTCTCGGCGCTGGCCGTTGCGGTGACGGCATCGCCGCTATTCACGGTGCTGATTGCGGCACTGCCAGCTGCCGAGCCGGCGTAACTGCTGGGGATGCTGCTGCTGCCGCTGCTGGCGACGCCATCGCTAAAAAAAGCCGCGGGAAAAAAGGAGTGCACGTGTTGGCTGCTGCTGCTGTTGATGCTGTTGAGTTCGGTAGAGGCAGACCGGGAACTCGCAGACTTGCTAAAAAGCCACCGTCGATCTTTCGGCCGGCCTTTATTCGCTGCTGCTGCTGCAGCTGCAGCGTCGGCGGGCCCGTTATTGGCATCTACCGGTACAGGAACGCTCGGAGCACCATCGCGAGAGCCTCTTAACGAGAGCATGAAGCGGCGGCTTCGTGATTTAGTTGGAGACGTTAGGCTCGTCGTACGGGGAACTGGAGTCTGCGGACCGGATGTGGGTTCACTGACCATAAGGCTGCCGCTTCTAACGGGGATATTTGTAGAATGTGGACCGTCGTTTAACGAGTATTCCGAGGACAGGCTCTTATCGGAGCCTTGTTGAGATGTCTTCAAATCTGCCATCCTTCCTAGGTACACTTGCTTGTCTACTATTACACCGCACCGACGCCGCTGCAGGCGCTTAGTATCGCAATCTAGACTTCATCAATAGTCAGAACTTGAACAGTGCTAGCACCTAACTTGTTTGCTGGTCAACAAACAAACAAGTGACCTATTTGTATCTAGGAGGATATGGTCGTCTCATGAAACGCTGATACCCTGTGTGTGTGTGTTGGGTTGGGGGACAAGACATGGTGAGTGGGGAAACGTCATAAGAAGGCAGGCAGGGAGATAACCAAGAGATACAGTGAGGTGACAATGAGGTGACACGGCACGGCACCAGACATACATACATGGTAACTATGGACGCGCCAACATCGGGAGATGTTGCGGTGCGTTTCTGAAACGCAACAAATGCTCCCGAGGGACCATTTTGCCAGCGATAGAATCTCGGGGTCGGTCGGGATGACCCTAGGTTGTGACGCGAAGTTCCCGATGATCCCTAGTGGCGTCACGTCTCGTTTGGCACGTCATTCCTGATGAAACAAGGGTTCGCTCTGCTTGAAGTTACAAAATTCGAGGGGCAGGGGTGCGGTGTGTCAGCGCTGTTCCCCATGGCGTGCTAAGGACGCGTCACCTGCCTCGATCGATCGTAGGGTTGCCAGGAAAACCGATCGGGCATACCGATCGCAGGTTCGGGGCACCATTGGGGGGAGGTGACAGCTGAACATCGATCGCAGCTTGGTTTCGAGCCCTGGGTGACACGTTCGGTATTGCGCCAGGGGACATGGTTGGGCGAAAACATGCAGCACCGTCGTATGGGTGATTTGCGAGAAAAAAAACATGAGATGATTCAGGTAACCCTGCAAACTGTGTGACGGCGATCGATCTTGCCTGTCACTTTGAGCGCGAGCTTGGAGCTCATGCAAAATCGGTGTGTGTATGATGATGCAATCAACGCGGTTGGGGGGAGGTGACAAGATCGTGGTGCATCTATTACTGTACATTCGTTAGCTGTCTCGAAACAGGGTATCTCTGTAAACTGCGAAGCTACAGTAATACTGTAGCATGCCAAACATCGATCCTACGCAGGATCGATCCAGGCAGGTGATGCGTCCTAATAACGAGTATAACATCATACAGTAATTTTGCTTTGCAGAAAACTTCACTCCTTACAAAAATGTTCGACAACATCACCTCTCCAGACCCGACCACTCTCCTGGGTCTCTCTTGTGATCACATTCTGCATTAGCATAATGGACACCGTGAAATCATGCCAGAATGAGTGGCCAATTAGTACGGTGCGGCGCGTCGCGGTAATACTCTCATAATTGGCCGTGTCATCAATGGCACGATCCCACCCAGCACGTATGGCCTTCGATTAGGCGCTTCGTGCCATGTAACACCGTCAGCGCTGCCAGCACCGTCAGCACCGTCAGCACCGTCAGCACCGTCAGCACTACCGTGGCCGGCATGCCAACCCACCATCCAACCCCCTGGCAAACCCGTCAACCCTCATCCTCGTTATTAGGCTTTTTAGGGTTTCCGCGGTTTCGGCTGGCGCGAATGCCGCAGCGGTACGTTGTGGTGCTGCTGACGGCAGTATGCACCACGGTGTGCTATATCGAACGAGTGGGCTTCAGCGTGGCGTACTCGTTAGTAGCTAATCGCAACCACGTGGATCAGGCCACCAAGGGATGGGTGCTTTCGGCGTTTTACTACGGATACGCCCTTTCTCAGGTGGGTGTCTTGCGAATACGCCCCGTTAGCATGTGGCGCGTTGCAAATGCGCCCGTGGGCGTGTTGCGGAGACCCTCTTTCCTAATTGGATTGCATGTGCCGCGAGGAATTCTCGTCTCTGTTTTGCTGAATGCCATTCTGCTCCTTCCAGTCTGCTCCCTGCCACTAGCTGCCCCTGCGTCCGCCTTGATTCTGCTTCCGCCCTGCCCCTGCTTCCGCCGTCCCCAGTTCCCCCTTGCTCCTAATTCCGCCTTGCATATGCGCCTTCCTCCTGCTTCCGCCTCGCCCTTTGCTCTCCCAGCAATCGCCACCTCCCACCGACGTATATTATCAGCTTAGCCCTCAAAAGTCTCCGTGCCCACCGTTTCCATTGTCCCACAGCTATCCTCGTCTGCGCTAGGGAGGAGGTTGTGGAGGATCCGCTCTCTTATTTCCCTCCCCCCCCCCCCCCCCCCCCCCCCCCCCCCCCCGACACCTTCTCTAAATGTGGTGCTGAATGCTTGAATCTGCTCTCCCATTCTCCCACCGCTCTTCGTCCTCCCCGTTACTTCATGATCTCCTTCCTCGTTGTGTCCCTGGCAGCTCTGCAGCACAATGATTTGATGGCACGTGGGTCATCACTGCAGCCTTCCTCGCCCTTCTTGCCTGGGGGAGCAGCAAGCGGTGCTGATAGCTCGAGTCCACTCTCCCGTCCACCACCACCTTCCCCCCCCCCCCCCCCGGCCCCTCCTTACTTCCTAATCTTATCCCGGGTCCCTGGCAGGCAGCTCTCAAGCTCGACGCTATGGCAGCCGACTGGTCATCACTGTCACCTTGCCTGGATGACCCTCTTCCTGCTCACTCCCTCACACCCTTCCTCCTCCCCCCTTCTTACTTCCTAATCTCATCCCAGGTGCCAGGCAGCTCGTTTGGTGACTTTTGAGTCGATTGTGAAGTCACCTTTCGAGTCGACTCAGAAGTCTCCTCATCTCATCCCAGCTGCCTAACAGCTCCGCCTCGCAGCGCTTTGAAGGCAGGCGGGTCATCACCGTGGCCTTCCTTGTCTGGTGGAGGAGCGAGTGGTGGTGGATTCTAAAATTCGCTCCTTCATCCTCTTCTACCCGTCATCCAAACCCCCTTCCAGGTGCCAGGCAGCTCTGCAGCACAGCGCTACGGAGGCAGGCGAGTCATCACAGTGGCCTTCCTCGCGTGGACCGTCCTCTCCCTGCTCACCCCCTCCAACCCCACCTCCTCCTCGCTCACTTCCCCCACCCTCCTCGCGCTGCTCCTCATCCGCTTCCTCGTCGGCGCCACTCAAGGCTTCATCTTCCCCTCCATCCACACAGTCCTCGCCCTCTGCATCCCACCGCTTGAAAAATCCCGCGCCGTCAGCCTCACAATGTCGGGTATGTATCTCGGGGCCGGGGCGGCTATGTCTCTCATGCCGGCTGTAGCGGCGGGGGTGCCGCCCTGGGGCGGGCCGGCAGCGGTGTTTCGGTGGTCTGCTGGGCTGGGGCTGCTGTGGGTGGTGCTGTGGGTGCGGCTGTTTTCAAAGGATCCGCCTGGGGGAGGGGGAATGGGAAGAGGGAGCGGTGGTGGTGGTGGTGGTGGTAGCAGTGCTGGTGATGGCAACCCGCTGTCTCCCCGGTTACCTGGTAGTAAGCAGGATCTGTTGCAGGAGGATAATGAGAAAGCCAGTGCGGTTGGGAGTGGTGGAAGCAGCAGCAGTTCCAGCAGCAGTAAGGGTATTCCCTGGGGGGCTATGATGAGCAGCTGGGCCATTTGGGCTATTGTTATCAATAACTACACTTTCCATTACGCACTTTACGTGCTTATGAACTGGCTTCCTTCCTACTTTGAGCAAGCGCTGCACACGTCGCTTCAAAGCATCGGCATCGGCAAATCCCTCCCATATTACATCATGATGATATTTTCCAACGTTGGCGGCGTAGCCGCTGATTTCCTCATCACATCGCAATGCCTGTCGATCGAAGCTACCCGGAAGGTTCTGAATACAGTTGGGTTTCTCATAGGAGCTTTGGCCCTGTGCCTGATGCCAGTTCTTTCGTCAGTTACGGGAGCTATATTGTGCTCAACCATTACTCTGGGTGCTTGTGCATTTGCACGAGCGGGATTTTCAGTGAACCACATGGATATTGCACCGAGATATGCGGGACCTGTTATGGGTATCTCCAATACTGCTGGGACATTGGCGGGTATTGCGGGGGTGGCATCAACAGGGTTGATTCTTCAGGCATGGGCTTCGGATATTGATTTTGGATGGTGGCTTGCGTTTGTTACGCCAGCTGGCCTCTGTGTGCTAAGTGCTGCAATCTTCTGTGCATTTGCAACAGGTGAGAGGTTGTTTGAGAGGTTGTTTTATCATTTCGCAATTGTAGTTTTAATCTGCCTGATATTTTATTGTCTTAGAATGGGAGAGCGTGACCACAAGCGAAACCCGCGATCCACTCGCCACATCAGACAACTTTCCACACTCTCGTCATCGCACGGTTGGATGGAATCGCGCTGAAATTGCGGCAGCTGCTGACGGGGGACAACGAGGTTTGTTGGGCGATGATGATGTACTGTACACCTTGTCGCCGAATCATTCGCTCGTCATTTGGCGAACTCCCGATATTGTCGTTGTGTGCACCCTTTCTTTCTGCGGGCTGCTTCCCACCGTTCAAAATTTATAATAAATGGTAAACCTGTTTTTTCCTGCCCTCGATATCATAGTTATCACGAACTTGCCTACCAAGTCTGGCTTGTGGCTGCTGCTTTTTCTCATGATTGCTGCTTTACGGTCAGAGAAATTAATGCCAGGCTCCGCCCCATGCCCTGAATTTCACATTCATCAGCAGCGGATACCACAGATCACATGCTGTACGTGCGACGTCCCAATCAGGTCGACGACAATTTGCTGGAATACACGTGATACCTCTTTCAGACTCACTTCTATTCAGAATTGTTACTGCGTTGTAATAATCCTCCTTCTACTACAGTTCGGCGATTACAGCGTTGTTGGATTGCCGAATTGCCAGAACTCTTGTACATCGGTCTGTACACGCGTGATGTCCCCAAGGGATGATTCATTCCCGAGGGGCGTATGGAATTTTTCCGAAAATGCTCTGATAAACTGAAATTATTGAACATTTGTTGTAAACTACTGCAAAGTTGTTCTTGTGGCTGATATTTTTGTCCCAGACACAGTCACAGAGCCACAGCAGCAGTACAGCACATATGCTACATTCATCCATTTGCCTCCCCTTCTCTTCTCCTTCCTCCTGCTGATGATTGCTTTGCAGCTCTCCCATCAGTCCCGACTCCCAAACTTTCGGCCACGCCGCTCCTTGCTCTCTCCTGGCTCTCATTTGGAAGCGTGATTGCGAGCGCCTTTATTTGCCATATAACGACCTGCATCCGTCGCATGATTGCTCCCGTGTATTCTGCCCTCCCGTCGGCGGATAGGTGCATTTTACGTACATATTGCCGTTCTTCAATGCAATCAGCCCTTTGATGTGTCGTTCTTCCTGATCCAAACAAACCAACTGCTTACGTGGACTGCGTGGTTGTTCTAGCTTACCCTTTCCCAAGTGACTTTTGAGTCGACTCAAGAACCAACTTTCAACTACCCAGTTGATACAACTAGCCCCTTTTCCACGCGCGAAGCGGACGTGTTTCTTGCTCCATTGCCGAAATCGCGAACTGTCTCTCAACTCGGGAAGTCACGCATTCTGTATGTCCGCCATTTTCGTTTCGCGCACGGCTAGCAGGAGGTCGAGCGTCGATCTGCGAAGCCAAGTTCGACCCGATCGTGCCAGGAATAATGTCCACATTGCGGAGCAGCGCGCGGACTCCTCGCTCGGAGCGAGCCGTTAGAGCGACGCCACATCGAAGTGCATAGAATCTAGAATTTCAGCTCTGGCTGACCATTTACCTTTCGCTGCGTAGTAATGTGTCGACTCATTATAACGTAAGCCGTAGACTCTTTCAAGCAAACTTTTACTCGACAGCCAGATCGGTAGCTAGGATTAAAGAACATCAGCGCCTTTCGGTCGGCCTTCATTCCTCAGAAACAGATTCTGTTGATCAACAATATCGCGGAGTGCGATTGCGGCATTCAGAACGTTCTTTCTTTTCTCTCTTTCAGTAGGTCGGACCGTCCCTCTTCGCCAATATTCTTGTGAGAGTCACCCCATCTTATTTAAAGTCGGGTCGCGCAATTGCCATCTACGAGGTGACTTTTGAGTCGACTCAAAAGTCACCTCGTGATCGGCAGTATCCAGCACGGCACGACATCTTTATCAAGGTCGGGTCGCGCTGTCGTCATCAACCTCCTCCCAGTGCCTCGGATCTTGCGGCGATTGGCTCGAACCGAACTCGGTTTTCGGAGCTTAGACGCGGCCTTATAGCGCGTACAGACGAAGGACTTGGCTTGCTGGCTGGTGTATCCGCATCCACGGTGTGCGTGCGTCTATCGACGACGGAGAATCGCCGTCAGCGTCGTCTATCAACGGCGAGGATTCGGCTTTGGGCATCGACGGCGAGAAAGAGCCGATGGGGAGCGCGAGAGGTTTCGACGTCGTTAAGGGTTACGTGGATACGGATTACGGCCAGATACACTTCCGCAGGTGAGTTAACTGAAAAAAAAAAACAAACAAACAAACAAACAAACAGAAAAGGGGGAGAACATAACTGCTATGAATACGGCTAGATACAATACCGCAGGTGAGCTATTTTCTGAGTCGATCCAAAAGTCACCCCATATTACGGCCGCAAACACTCATGTAAGCCAAAGAAGTGACCCCTGAGTCGACTCAATAGTAGTCTCCTTTACGGTCAGATAACTCTGCCGTAGGTGAGGGTCAGATAACACTACCGTACGTGAGGTAACGCCGAGGAATACGGCATCAGGTACGCCACTGCTACAGGTGCTGCAGATACGCTATCGCGACAACGAGATGCATACCATGCCGACGCGCTAGGGTTTTCAACGTGACGTTCCTGCAGCCACTCGCCCCCGCTCTCTTCCCTTCCTCCTCCCCTTCTCCCCTCCAACGTCCCTCCCCCTCCCTACCCCATCCCCCTCTCAGATGCGGACAAGGCTTGCCGTCCGTGCTGCTGCTGCATGCCGCCCCGCAGTCCTCTTCCATGTTCTCATCCGCGCTCAAGCGCTTCGCCGCCCGGGGGCTGCACGCCGTGGCCGTCGATCTGCCCAACTGCGGCGAATCCAGCCGTTCGTCCGCGGAGCTGACGATCGCTGACGTGGCAGAGATCGTGCTGCAGGCCGTTCAAGGGCTGAGATTCACCCACACCATCGACCTGGTAAGCGTCGATGGGAAAGAGAGAAAAGAGAGGGAAAAGAATGAGAAGTGAAGGAAAAGATGGGGAAAGAGTGGTGTGCTGCTGTGGTAAGGGAAGGAGGGTGGGGAATTGAATGGGGGGTGTGGAAGTGGGGAAGAGGCCGGAGTACGAGGCATTAACATTCTCTGGGGCCATTTGAATGTGGGGGAAAGGTGAGGGGCAAGGGGGGGAAGGGGAGACGGGAAGGGGGAGGTGGAGGGGGGAGGAGGGAGAGGGATGGAGGAGGGGGATGGGGGAGGGGTGAGGAGCCTTTTTGGTTAAACGGAGTCAGTACGAACGAGCTTCCAACAATAGCACGAACTCAATGAATGAATAATAGCAAACCAGCCTTTGGCCAACTGTGGCGCCCCGTCGGGCAGGTAAGAGAAAATTAACCTTTCAAATGGCGTGCTCGCAGAGGCTTATTCCCCACGTTGTCCCCTCCCAACCCACTGCACCCATCTACCCCTTGCCCTCCCCTGTTACCCCCTCCCATCCCCAACTAACCCCAACCATGCACCCCTATCTTCGCCCACCCCCAGCCACCTCCATCTACCCCTACCCACCCTCACCCATCCCCATCTACCCCCACCCACCACCCTTCAACCCCACAGATTGGCCACCAGACAGGGGCAACAGTGGCGCTGCAAATCGTATCGGACCTCCCCCAGGTGGTGCGGCGGGTGGTGCTGTGGGGCGTGCCCATGCTGGGATTCATCGAGCAAGGGGACGTGATTGCAACCCTTCTCACCGCTCCCAACCCCTTCCCTTTACCCACACAGATCGGGCACCAGACGGGGGCCACAGTAGCCTTGCAAATCGCGTCAGACCTCCCCCAGGTGGTGCGGCGGGTGGTGCTGTGGGGCGTGCCCATGCTGGGATTCATGGAGCGAGGGGACGTGCTGAGGGAAGAACCCCCTGACTACGATGGTGACTTGGAAGGCACCGTTGCGACCTTTTTGGAGAAGAGATACCCCTACCCCGTTCCTTGGCAACTCAAGGTGAAAAACAGCTTAAGGTGGGGTGCTGTGCGGTGCTTTGGGGTGTCTGGCCGCTAGGGATTCTGGAGGTGGTGCTGTGGGGAGTGCCCATGCTGGGATTCATGGAGCGAGGGGACGTGCTGAGGGAAGAACCCCCTGACTACGATGGTGACTTGGAAGGGACAGTGGCCACGTTCCTCGAAAAGAGATACCCCTACCCCGTGCCCTGGCAGCTAAAGGTGAGACGCAGTCACGGTAAGGTTATCAGGTTAAGGGGGGAGGCCCATGCTGTGGTTCAGTTCATGGAGTGAGGGGACGTGCTGAGCTGAAGATGAAGGGGCTCGGAACTTGCCTCCCCCGCCTCCTCCTGACTACGATGACGACTTGGAGGGGACTGTGCTTGTAGAAGCCTATGCCGTGTCTTCTGGAGCAGACGCATCAGGGGCTTCTGGAGGCACAGTCCCCTCCAAGCCCCTGGTCCCTCCAGAAGCCTGTGCCGTGTCCCCAGACGCATCAGGCGCTTCTGGGGCCCGTGCCGTGTCTCCTCCACACGCCCCTGATGCGTCTGCTCATTGCCCTCCCGTTCCGTTGTCCCCACTACTCCCCCTATCCGACCCCCTCCTTTCCCCCCAACTCACCCCCCTTCCATCCCCGCTCCCCCAACACCAGGTGTGCACGCTGATCGACATGCTACAGACATACGAGCGCCGTCCCTGGCTAACTCGAGCCATGCTGTGGTCGATCACGCCGCCCTCCTGGGTGCCCTCCCCCATGCCGCTGCTGCTCTGTCTGGCCCGTGCCCATGCCCTGTCTGAACCCTGCCCCTCCCACTTCCTCCCACCACCAGGTGCGCACGCTCATAGACATGCTACAGACATACGAGCGCCGTCCCTGGCTGACTCGAGCCATGGCTGTGTCGACCACGCCGCCCTCCTGGGCGCGCTCCCCCATGCCTGTGCTCTGACCCATGCTCCCTTCTTCCCCATACCTGTACTGCTCCGTCTGCCTCCCCACCCCTCCAGGTGCGCACACTAATCGACATGCTGCAAACATATGAGCGTCGTCCCTGGTTGACTCGAGCCATGGCAGTGGTAGACCACGCCGCCCTCCTGGGCGCCCTCCCCATGCCCGTGCTCTGCCTGGCCGGCGACAGCGAGCCGTTTCAGAAAGCAACAATGAAGGCCGCCCTGCTGTGCAAGAACGGGCGGTACATGAACCTCGGCTCGGCCGGCAGCGATGTGGTAGACGAGATTCCCGATGATTACGTGGCAGAGGTTTTGTCTTTTCTGATGGAGCCGGACGGCGACGGGGGGGTGGGAGCGGGGGGAGCGGGGGGAGGGTCGGGGAGAGTGGGGGGCGGAGTGGGGAGGGTGGGGGCGCTGGGGGGGGTGGGGCAGGGGGAGAGGGCTAGCTGGTCGATTCAGAGTGAGGTGGTGGCGCAGGATGGGGGGAGGAAAATGTCGGCTGCTGCTGGCGTGGGGGGAGGCGGGGGAGGAGGAGTGGGGGGGAATCAAGCGGTAAGGCAAGGGTCATTGCCGAGCAATCTAGGGGCTGGGAGCGGGGCAGGAGGAGGGGGAGGCGGAGGGGGGGGAGGAGGGGGAGGGGACGGGGGCCAGTCACCCAAAGGGGAGGCGGATGAGAGGCGGTCGTCGAGTGAGAAGAAGCGAGGGCTGCTGAAAGGGCTGTTCAGAGGGAAGAGCGGGCTGCAGCAGCAGGGGTGATGGCAGGCAGGCAGCAGCAGTAGCAGCAGCAGCACTGGCGTCAGTCAAGATTGGTAGCAGCATGGGTCGCAGCTGGCGGCGCTTTTAGCAGTCACAGAAGCTACGGCAAGCACACAGGCACGGGCAGCAGCAGCACTGGTGTGTCAGCCAAGAGTACTGAGCTGTGAGACCTTCCAAAAGTGATCACTGGCAGCTGCTGCACTGTCATCAGACGGGATTAGTCAGCATGGGGGGGAGTGGCACTGTCCCTGGCGCCTTCAGCTGACTGATGGTTTCTGTAACGGCATTTCTTCCGTGGGTTCTCTGCTGAATCCCACGCGCTCCCATGCCAGCTCTAGTGCGACTAGTGTGCCACGTCAGCTGGGATGGCAACTGGAATTGCCCTACAGTGTGTATGTTAGCAGGAGTTGCCGTTTACGTAAGCCGCATTGCCATCTTCATCAGCTACCCAGGACAGGTAAAGCCACTGTACCATCACCACCACCTTCACTGCCACTTCCATCATTCATCTACCATAGATTGCATTTGCAATATATGTCAGAATGCTATTATTGTCTAGCCTGCAGTGGGGTACTCTATAGCGAGTACAGCCCAATCTAGGGTTTGCTATTTGTACTCAACTGCCTGCTAGTTCAACCCCTCTCCTTTCATTCATTCTTGCCTAGTGATTCTGATATGCTATCAGAGCAGGTCGACCCTCCTGGGTCGATCCTGTGGGTGGGCCCACCACCTAAGCCTTCCGCTGCTACTGCTACTGCTACTGCTACTCCCTGTCCGCCGCGCGCCCCGTGGCGCGCGGCGTCGAAACTAGGGTTTTCAGCCCGCCGTGCGCCCCGAGGCACGCGGCGGTTTTCTGCCCGCCGTGCGCCCCGAGGCGCGCGGCGGTTCTCTGCCCGCCGTGTGCCCCGAGGCGCGCGGCGGGTTCCTGCCCCGTCACTCGGCACGTCGCCCCCGGGAGGCGCTGCGACGGGCGACGGGGACCCGCGCGTCGCCCCCCGTCGCCCGTCGTGGCCTGCGCGCGGCCCGTACACCCGGCACGCGGCCCGTACGGGCTGCGCCAGGCCTGCGCGCGGCCCGTACGGGCTGCGCCAGGCCCGCGCGCGGCCCGTACGGGCTGCGCCAGGCCCGCGCGCGGCCCGTACGGGAAGCGCCAGGCCCGCGCGCGGCTCGGGCCGCCTGCGCGCGGTTCGGGCGGCTCTACCAGGCCCGTGGGCGGCCCGTTCCTCGCTGCTCCTGCCCTCTCCACTGTCCCCCGTGCTTCTACCGGCGCCTCACCCCTCCTACAGCCCGTTCTCCTAAATTAGGGTTTGGGGGTGAAGAGTGTGGGGGTGGCGGCTATGGGGGTGTCGGTTGTGAGTTCCTCCCCCTGCTCCTCCTCCTCCCTCGTCTCCCTCTGCTACAGCTGCCGCTGAGGGGGGTGGTGTGTGGGAGCCGAGGGTTTAGGGTTTAAGGGGGGTGCCGTGGATGTGGAGCTAGGGTTTCAGCAGGGGGTGTGTGAGAGGGGCGTGGGACGGTCGGGGGAGGTTGCGTGGAGGTAGCCGTCGTGACGCCAGCAGCGCCAGTAGTCCGGATGCCCTCGCGCGTTTCGGTAGCCCAGCGAGCCTGCTTCGCCAGTCGCCTGTGGGTCCGTTGCTCCTGCGTGTGCTCGTCGTAGCCGCGGAGCCAGATACTCCCGTAGTCCGGTGCCCTCGTGCGCTCGGTAGCCACTGTGCGCGCCGCTCCTGTTGCCCGTGTGTCTGCAGCTTCAGTCGGCGCCTTTCATCTTCTCTCCTCCTCCTCCTCCTCGCTTGCCCTCTGTGACTGCCTCTAGCTTTGCTCATAACTGTGAACTTTAAACTATTGCTTCTTGAACTTGTGCTCAGAATGTGTGGTGACATTGTGATCCACCCTGAGCTTGTACTGCTTTGCTTGCTCTGCTGATTACACCCCACTTTGGCTATGGGGGTGTGTCAGAATGCTATTATTGTCTAGCCTGCAGTGGGGTACTCTATAGCGAGTACAGCCCAATCTAGGGTTTGCTATTTGTACTCAACTGCCTGCTAGTTCAACCCCTCTCCTTTCATTCATTCTTGCCTAGTGATTCTGATAATATATAGTGGTCTGCATGCTTGCAGTGCGTGCATGCTTGCAGTGTGCATCATTTTTTGGGCAAGTGTAGCTTGTAGTACCACACCAGTGGTTTGCATAAGCATGTGTCTCCGCTCTCGTAGTCTCTAGTCAATACTGCCCTACAGACTGCATGACAATCAGCACTCGCGTGTCTGGATGGCTATTCGTATATGTGCGGAATATGTTCCATTGCGTGCCGTGATGACTGTACAATATGGTGGATACATATGTTTCCCGCGCGTTTACCAGCATCATCTATTCAGCCTTGTCATCCACCCGGTCAACGAGGAAAATCAAGCATCGGGAATTGTGTTTTCAGAAATACATATATCTACACTTACAAGTATATTATCATCCCAGATTTTTTAGTGGCACATCATGCCGAGTACCCAGTTGCGGTTCGGTTGCATGTTCGTTGTAAGCCCCTCGCTATTGCAAACCTACTACACATACTTGGTTCTGTGCTCCCTGCGATTTCGACATGATCACATACACCAAGGACCAAGGCACCTGACTGACGAGATTGCAGAGCGTAGTTACCATCGCTTGCCAATGTCTTCGCCGTGTGTTGGCGAGGCGACTCAATCTTGCGAGCCAAATCCTGCGTTACGCAGGCTGCGTACATTTGGGAACATTTTAGGACAGCCTCACCCACCTACCATCCACCAAAGCAGCAGCGATCTACTATTTCCGGCACAACCGTTCTGCTGTGGCTTGTTTTTTCTTGCGTGAATCTGTTTTGTTCGGCCGCGGTCGAGAACGACGGTGCTTAGGTTCCTGCAGGGTTTCGTCTCTTCTATTTCATCAAGGCTGTCCTTAGGTGCCTGACACCAGGGATTGAGGCGGACCGTGCTTCATTACCAGCACCTTTTAGTTCCCTCTAGGTTGAGACCGGTTGAGAGCGATTGAAACAGGTTGATACCGGTTGAGAACGGCAGTGCTTGGTTGTCTGGCATTAGGGCTCAGGTGGACAGTGCGTGGTTGCCGGCATGAACGGCGGTGCGAACGACAGCCGCAAGGCCAACATGGTCAATGCGGCGACGACCTTCAAGGTGCGACGATCGATTCAACTGACTCTTGAGTCATATGCGATCTAGATGAAATCGGTTCAAGTCGCCTCCATGGCAGTTTCAAGGCGGCTGTGAGCTCCGAATCGTAGTTATAATCGATGCGAATCAGAATCGGTCACGACAGACTAGAACCATTTTACAACTGTCCAGAATATGCGGGTCTTGCACAGAGTTAATATCTTCTGTCGGAAATGCTCATATTGCCAAGATGTGACCAAACCCGTGTGGTATATTCATGGTCACGTTTGAATTTTGAGACGAAGCTATAACATACCGCGTATGCTCTCATTGCGATATTTTTTTAAACACGAATATGTAGGACGGTTGCCCGATTCGAATCCCCCCACTTCCCATTCATTCCCGCCTTTCCACTTATCAATCGCAACCTTCTAATCCAATCTGCATCTGCGTTTCAGAATTTCCAATTCGACTTCGATCTGGGGATGTCGTCTTCATCCGGCATTGGAGCGGGGGGAGGTCGCGCGGGAACGGCAGGCGGCAGTCTCAAGGATCAGAAGCTCGGCGGCGGTTTGGTGAGTTAAATCAATGTGGGGAGGCGTCTCATAAGTTGTTGCCTCAAAAGGAGAGGGAGGACAGCAATCGCCCGTATTCTAGCGCCTCAACTGCTCCGCTCACCCTCGTTTCTCCTGCTCTCCGCCCCATCTGCGCTCCTTCCCCGCCCCTCCCACCCCACTCCACCCCCCTTCGCGCCCTTCTGGCCCCATCTGCACTCTCCGCCCAATCTTTCCCCCGTCCGCTCAGGGTGGCGGAGGACGACCAGGCGCGGGGGGCGGGTACGCGCAGGGCGCAACCTCGTGGTCCACAGGCGGAGGAGGGGGAGCAGCGCGCGGTCCCCCCGCCTCCGCCAGCTCCTATGCGCAGGGGCAGGCGCAGAGGCAAGGGGGAAGCGGGGGGGGACCTAGCTGGGTGCCTCTGGGGCAGTCCGGAATAGGCAGTGGGGGGAGCGGGGGGAGTGGGGGGAGCGGGTATGGGGGGATGGGTATGGGGATGGGGATGAATGCCAAGCCTTTAAACTCCTCCCTTTCTGGTGCGTCAGCAGCTGCACCTGCCAGCAAGGCGGATGACGTGTTTGCCAGCCTGTGGAACAGCGCCACTGCCTCTGCGCGCCCTGGGGCCTCGTCCACGTCATCGTCCACGTCAGCGTACGGTGCGGCCAGGGACAGCGCGGGAGGGGCATCTGGGGGAGGTAGATTCGGCGCAGGTGCGGGTGGTGCTGGGGCAGCTGGAGGGGGAGGGGGAGGGGGAGGTGGAGGGTTTGATCCGTTTGGTATGGGCGATCTACGAAGCTCCGTTCCCAAAGCTGGCGCCTCAGGAGGAGCAGGCGGGGCAGGAAGGGGGTTTGGTGCAGGATTAGGGTCGGGAGCAGGAACAGGATTCAGCATGGGTGGTGGGATTGGCGGTTCTGGCGGCGGTGGTGGATTAGGTGGTCAACCCATGAGGGGCAGCGGCATTGGAGGCCCTTCACTGCGCGCCTCTGCCCCATCTGCCGCTTCTGCTGCGACTTCTGCTTCCTCTGCTGCCTCTGCCGATCCTTTCACTGCGTCCTGGCCAGACCCATTCGCCACCAGCAGTAGCAGCAGTGGCAGTGGTGGTGGTAACACTGGCAACATGAACAGCAGCGGCAGCAGTGGTGGTGGCATGGCAGGGGGGGGAACCGGAGCCTCATCCGCGTCTGCAGCAGACCCGTTTGCAGACTTCTCCGCTTCCTTCCCCGCCCCACGCGCCGCTGCCTCGTCTGCTGCTCCTTTTCCTGCTCCTGCTCCTGCTGCCTCTGCCGCTTCTGCCGCAGCTGCTGATCCCTTTGCTGCCTTCTCATCCACCTTCGGGAGTTCCCAGCCCTTCGGCAACTCCCAACCTCCCAGCGGCTCCCAGCCATCTGCTGCTGCGTCAGGCGGCTCATTTGACCCGCTAGTAGACATGCTTTTTAACTCCAAGCCCACTGCTCCTGCTGCTGCTGCTGCTGCTGCTGCTGGTGCTGGTGCTGGTGCTGGTGCTGGTGCTGGTGCTGGTTCTGTTGGTGGTGGTTTTGCAGCGGCCAGCAGTGACAGCAGCAGTTTCTTCGGAGCGAGCGCAGGCGGTGGTGTTGATTTCGGGAGCCAAGACGCGGGTGACTGGGGAAGCTGCGGGGATGCTTCTGCTTCCGCCTCGACAGAAACCACTGTAGAGCTGGACGGCATCGGGCCGCCGCCACCGGGAGTGACTTATAACGCAGCGCTCAATAAGGGGACGGAGTTCTACAAAGGGGGGCAGTTTGCGGATGCGATCAAGTGGCTGGTGTGGGCGGAGCAGCTGGCGGAGAGAGGGGGGCAGGCGGAGGGGGGGGGACTGGTGGCTGTGCTGAGTGCAAGGGCGTCGTGCTACAAGGAGGCTGGCGAGATGAAGAAAGCTGTCGCAGATTGTAGCAAGGTGAGCAGCATTGAACCTTCCATCTAGCACCCATCAGTGAGTGCTGCGAGGTGAGTTTGGGGGAAGGGGCAGGGAGGGGAGCACTGGGCATTGATCAAAGGGGGGCTGTTCACGAATGTAATCAAGTGGCTGGTGTGGGCGGAGCAGCTGGCGGAGCGAGGGGGGCAGGCGGAGGGGGGAGGACTGGTGGCTGTGCTGAGTGCAAGGGCGTCGTGCTACAAGGAGGCTGGGGAAATGAAGAAAGCTGTTGCTGATTGTACCAAGGTGAGTGTGGTAGGTGGAGCAAAACGCGAGCTGCATTAAGGTGAGTGTGGGGTGGGAGAGGGGAAAGGGGGGAGGGAGGGAGTGGGGAGAAGGTGCATGGGTGCGGATGCGATCAAGTGGCTGGTGTGGGCGGAGCAGCTGGCGGAGAGAGGGGGGCAGGCGGAGGGGGGGGGACTGGTGGCTGTGCTGAGTGCAAGGGCGTCGTGCTACAAGGAGGCTGGGGAGTCGAAGAAGGCTGTTGCAGACTGCATCAAGGTGGGTGTGGACTGTGTGCGGGCACCCAGCATTGACCACAGGGGAGTCACTTTTGAGAATTCTCAAAGGGAGGGGGGGTTGATGGCCGGCAGGTTGCTCGAGCTGGCGTTGGATCCCAACAACACAGCAGCGAGCAGGGTGCAGTTATATTGAAATCACTTTTGAAAATTCTCAAAAATGATTTCAATAGAGCAGGGTGTGTGTGACAAGTCGATTCTTATTCGACTCAAAAATCGACTTATCACACGGGGTGCTCGAGCTGGCGTTGGATCCCAACAACACAGCAGCGAGCAGGGTGCAGCGGGCATGACTGTACGAGGCAATGGAGAAAGTACAACCTGGGGGCGGCTGACCTCTTACCTTCTCCTTTCCCCACTCTCTCCCTTCCTCAGGTGTTGGAGATTGAACCGGAGAACACAGCAGTATTGATGCAGCGGGCGTGCCTCTTCGAGGCCATGGAGAAGTACAAGCTGGGCGTGGCTGACCTGCTCTCACTTCTCTCTCTCTTGCCTACCCTTACCCACTCCTTTCCCCGCCTAATTCACTCTTGTATGGGAGATTGGACCGGAGAACACAGCGGTGTTGATGCAGGGAGCATGTTTGTACGAGACCATGGAGAAGTACAAGCTGGGGGTGGCTGACCTGCACCTGCTCTCTGTGTTGCGTACCCTTACCCACTCCTTTCCCTGTCCTTACCCACTCAGGTATTGGAGATTGAACCGGAGGACACAGCAGTGTTAATGCAACGAGCATGTCTGTACGAGGCGATGGAGAAGTACAAGCTGGGCATGGCGGACCTGCGCCTGCTCTCTCTGTAATGCCCCCTTCTCTCCCTTCTTCTCGCTCTTGCTCCCCCAGGTCCTCGAGATCGAGCCAGAGAACACAGCGGTCCTAATGCAGCGAGCATGCCTGTACGAGGCGATGGAGAAGTACAAGCTGGGCGTGGCTGACCTGCGCCTGCTCTCCCGCCTCGACCCTTCCAACCGCGCTGTTGCCACGAGCCTTAATCGGCTTACCAAGGCGCTTGCTGCTCTAGGGTGATAACAGCAACAGCAGGGGCCGGGTCGCAGGAGGAGAAGGTGTGGGAGATAGAAGGGGATAAGGGGTGTGTGTTAGGGGAAGGATAGGGGGTGGCTGACCTGCGCCTGCTCTCGCGCCTGGACCCTTCCAACCGAGCCGTTGCCATGAGCCTCAACCGGCTCACCAAGGCCCTTGCTGCTCTAGGGTGATCACAGCAGCAGTAGCAGGAGGGTGAGGAGGAGGTTTGGGAGATAGAAGGGGATAAGGGGTGTGTGTCAGGAGAAGGATAGGGTGTGGCTGACCTGCGCCTGCTCTCGCGCCTGGACCCTTCCAACCGCGCTTAACAGGCGCCACGAGCTACGAGCCTTAACAGGCTTAGCAAGGCGCTTGCCGCTCTAGGTTGATAGCAGCAGCAGAAGGAGGAGGTGTGGGAGATAGAAGGGGGTAAAGGGTGTGTGTTAGGGGAAGGATCGGGCGTGGCTGACCTGCGCCTGCTCTCCCATCTCGACCCCTCCAACCATGTTGTTGCCACGAGCCTCAACCGGCTCATCAAAGCCCTAGCTGCTCTGAGTTAAGAAGCGGTGCATCCCAGCTGACAGTGGTGATGTGCGGTTTGGGAAGGGTTACCTGTGTGGGAAGGATTTTCATGTGGTTGGCTATTGAATGGAGAAGAGTAGAGAGTTTGAAGTCTAAAGAGGAGGGTTTGTTACAATGATATATAAACCAATGGCGTACTGTTCAATAAGCTACCACTGGGTTGTATTGTATCCTTCAAGGAATCATGTAGAACACAGTAAAACAGGTTAGTAATGTTGGAAACAATAAAACTTAAGCGCTTCAGTCGTGTCGAAAACACCGCATCAGAAGCGAGGCAAACTACACCGAAGCACCCGCGAGTCAACCCTCGGGGGTTGAAGAGGTTGCTGGAGGTTACGCGAAAGTCAAAGGTCAGCAACCTTTGACCCGACAAGTACAGCGCGACAGTTAAGGACATACAACTGACTCGTTACAGAGCAGTTGCCCGAGTCGTACTGTATCGAACCGCAACAGCAACAGTAAAAGTAGTTATAACTGTATCCTTTGATATTCCTTGCACTACTATATATTCTTGTACTTTCCTGTTATAATCAATCTACTTTGCCCTCACATACTAGCGCAAGGTGGTTCACAATTTCTTCACTGAAAGCTTCCGCTATTACAATTGTCCTATCCAGAGTTCTCCCCTGAAAAGATCCTAAGGGGCTATCTCAGCCCAACATGGTATGAGAGCAGTCAGGGGAAACTCTACCACTTCCAAATCAAAGACATTACAAGACATGGCAACAAACAAGGAGCTCTTCTAATGGCTCCCCGGGCACTACTCCTACACCACCTCCTGCCTCTGGCCTGCAGACAGAGGAAGGCACGGCAACAAGACCTAGGGGGACGTCCACCGAGACTCACACAAATCGCCCCACGGACTTCGACCAAAGCATGATGGAGAAATTTTTCTCCTTCATGTCCTTCTACGAGCAGCACCAGCAGTCGGGACCTGCACAGACACACAACAGCAACAACGGAGTGACGCCCATGAGCCTTGATGGGTCGTCATACGCGCGCGGAAATCAACAGCAGCAACCTACCTTCGCCCCGTACGAACGCGGGTCAATCAGCTTCATGCCGCAGTCTTCACCTACACAAGACAAATCACTGGACGCGTTACAAGTACAGTCGCAATTTGCACACGTTTTGAAGCTTCAAACGTCAAGACCATTCGACGGAAAGGACTTCTTCACCTGGTCCTTTGAGTTCGAGTTGATGATGGAGGGCGCGCAGATACTTGGCTTCTTCGACGGGTCCCTGCAATACCCAGCAAACGGCACACAGTATGAGAAGCAGCAGTATGTCAACAGAACTAGGCAAGAATGAATGAAAGGAGAGGGGTTTCACTAGCAGCAGTTGGGGTACATATAGCAAACCCTAACTGGGTTGTACTCGCTATAGAGCACCCCACTACAGGCTAGACAATAATAACATTCTGACACACCCCCATAGCCAAAGTGGGGTGTAATCAGTACAATGAGCAGGCATAGCAATAGTTCACAATTATAAGCAAAGCTAGAGGTGATCATAGAGGGCAAGTGAGGAGGAGGAGAGACTGTGAGGGCGAGAAGATGAAAGGCGCCGACTGAAGCTGCAGACACACGGGCAACAGGAGCGGCGCGCACAGTGGCTACCGAGCGCACGAGGGCACCGGACTACGGGAGTATCTGGCTCCGCGGCTACGACGAGCACATTCAGGAGCAACGGACCCACAGGCGACTGGCGAAGCAGGCTCGCTGGGCTACCGAAACGCGCGAGGGCATCCGGACTACTGGCGCTGCTGGCGTCACGACGGCTACCTCCACGCAACCTCCCCCGACCGTCCCACGCCCCTCTCACACACCCCCTGCTGAAACCCTAGCTCCACATCCACGGCACCCCCCTTAAACCCTAAACCCTCTTCTCCCACACACCACCCCCCTCAGCGGCAGCTGTAGCAGAGGGAGACGAGGGAGGAGGAGGAGCAGGGGGAGGAACTCACAACCGACACCCCCATAGCCGCCACCCCCACACTCTTCACCCCCAAACCCTAATTCAGGAGAACGGGCTGTAGGAGGGGTGGGGCGCCGGTAGAAGCACGGGGGACAGTGGAGAGGGCAGGAGCAGCGAGGAACGGGCCGCCCACGGGCCTGGTATAGCCGCCCGAACCGCGCGCAGGCGGCCCGAGCCGCGCGCGGGCCTGGCGCTTCCCGTACGGGCCGCGCGCGGGCCTGGCGCAGCCCGTACGGGCCGCACGCCGGCTGTACGGGCCGCGCGCAGGCCACGACGGGCGACGGGGGGCGACGCGCGGGTCCCCGTCGCCCGTCGCAACGCCTCCCGGGGGCGACGCGTCGAGTGACGGGGCAGAAGCCCGCCGCGCGCCTCGGGGCGCACAGCGGGCAGAGAACCGCCGCGCGCCACGGGGCGCACGGCGGGCAGAAAACCGCCGCGCGCCTCGGGGCGCACGGCGGGAAGAATAAACTGCCGCACGCCACGGGGCGTGCGGCACATAGAGTAGCAGCGGAAGTTGCAGCGGAAGCAACGAGGTGGTGAGCCCACCCACAGGATCGATCCAAAGGGATCGACCTGCTCTGATAGCATGTCAACAGAACTAGGCAAGAATGAATGAAAGGAGAGGGGTTTCACTAGCAGCAGTTGGGGTACATATAGCAAACCCTAACTGGGTTGTACTCGCTATAGAGCACCCCACTACAGGCTAGACAATAATAACATTCTGACAGCAGCAGTACACTTATCAATCGATGATGGCGTATACGATCCTACTGAGGAACGTAACACCAACTCAGCAGCAGAACATTCGCTCTTACCGGGCCTTCGGCAACTCGGCGGAACTCGCGTACAACCACCTGAAGAACCTGTACCAAGCAACAGACAGTGTAAATCAGAGCAGGTTAATGGCGCAGCTGACAACAGTTGAGATGAAACCAGGAGAGAAAGGAATGGCATATATCAGTCGATGTCGCGAACTGCGCGACAAGCTTCTTCGATGTGGAGGATCAATCTCTGAAGACGCCTTCGTGACGGTCATCATCGGCGGCCTCGGTCCTCAGTGGCGCGCAACAAAGGCCATCCTCCGAGCCCACGGACGAATTTCTGAGGCAGCACTCTGCGCCGAAATCCACGCCGAACAGCAGGACATGGATCTGCAAGAAGAACGACACAGGAAGAAGACGACAACGTCAGAGTTCGCATTTCACACCCAACGACGACACAACAACTACAGCAACAGACAACAACAGCCGAAGCCAGTACCTCCCTTCTGTCACATCTGCAAGACTTCAGGGCACCCGCGCACGCACTGCCCGAATCGTCAACAGTCAACGACCCCGCAACGACACCTTCGACCTTCAAGCAGTCAAATTGCGTCAACGCAAGCGAATCCAACGACCCAGATCCAAGCTTCAACAACCTCAACGGGACAACCTGCGCAAGGAGCAAGAAACATCGTTAGCTGCATGGCAAGACTGAGTGACTCTTGCGTCATGGATTCACCACCTCATTACTCACCGGAAGAACAACTCGACAACACCACACCTCGTCGCGAAGCACTTCAACCAAATCCGACATACGCTGCCATCGCCCAAAACGAGCCATCCGGAAAAGACACGTGGTTCTTGGACAGTTGCTGCGGACAACACATGTGTTCTTCGGGACGCTTCGTACAGAGAGATATCAACTTCAACGAGAGGTCGTCATCACCGTCGCCAATAATCAAAACCTGCGCACACGACGACAAGGAATTGTACAACTTCAGTCACGGGAGACAAACGTCATTCTGCAAATGTCCAAGGTTTTAATTGCAGAAGGCCTCGGATACAACCTTCTCAGTGTGAGTCAGTTGATGGCGAAAGGCATCCACCTCGAAGCAGACAGCACTACCCAAGAATTCAAGTTGTACCACGGGAGAGGAGGTCTTTACATCGGGAAGGCAGTCCTTAAAAACAACGTCTTCGTCTTGGACTTCGTTCCTGATCTCGGTACCGCTGACAGCGACGCCATAGTCAACTTCACCAACTGGACACACCCTCCAGATCCTGACCCTGACTTCAGTACAGGCGGCTTCTGGTATTCACATACCATTCCTGAAACAGAGAGAACAAGAGCATTAGCAGCGATTCAACAATCGGCAGCAGCAGAGACAACGTCGGCAGCAGCAGAGACAACGTCGGCAGCAGCAGAGACAACGTCGGCAGCAGCAGAGACAACGTCGGCAGCAGCAGAGACAACGTCGGCAGCAGCAGAGAAAACATCGGCAGCAGCAGAGACAACAACAGCAACAGCGACAACGACGACACCAGTCGCCGGTCCTTCAACGACGGCGTTCTTCAACGACGATGCACCACCAACACCTGCACAACAGCTTCAGCCAGCACCACGAGAATTTCATCACAGTCCCAACTTCACCACCGGTCTCTACTCCAACTCCGACATGTACCAGCGCTCACCCGGTCATCGCGCCAACGAAGAAATCTGGCACGCAAGAATGGGACACCCAAGCAACACTGTGTTAAACAACACAATTCGAGCAGGAGTACTCGACAAGGACTCTCTGCTTTTAACAGACGGCAGAGAACTTCAGCGAGCTCGAGGAACATGCTTCACCTGCCCCGAAGCTGACTTACCGCATCAGCCCTTCGTTTCGCATCACAACCCAAGCGCACCTGCATATGCACCACTCGAGAAAGTATACAGCGACATCTTGTACAACCGCGAACCCGGACAAAACGCGTATAACTACACCATCACCTTCATCGACGCCGCTACACGTTACGTCTGGCACCTAAACTTACCAAGTCGCGACATGGCTTTCGAAGCTTTCGTGGCATGGCTTCCAGCAGCAGAACGGGAATCGGGAGCTAAGCTCAAAAGTTTCCAATCAGACGGAGGAGGAGAATACTCGTCACAGCGATTCAAGCAGTACCTGGCGGAGAAGGGAATCAAGAGACTCATCTCCCTTCCCTACGCCCATCAACAGCAGGGTGTAGCAGAAAGGATGAACAGGACTCTGCAGAACACCATGCGCAAACTGTTACGTGGCATGCGGCTACCCAACCACCAGTGGCCCGAAGCAATGGACCACGCCGTGATGCTGCACAACTTGCTTTCTTCGTCGTCACTCCCGAACAACACATCACCGCATCTGCTGTGGACAGGAAAACTGGGCAGCACAAAAATGTTACGAGTCTTCGGCTGCATGGTACAGTACCGACCCCCATCTGCACGAGCCGGCCGATTCTCTCAACGCGCACAGTGGGGACTACACCTGGGCATCGAAAAACATTACAACGCGTGGAAAATCTTCGACATCCACACCAAAGAAACAGTAGCAGCACGTGATGTCATTTTCTACGAACGACTCACGCTGCCAACGTACCTTGCCAACCTGGACGAAAATCGAGACCCCACAGGCGGCTTCCGTGGCGATCGAGCCTTCGCTTCGGCAGAAGACGAAGCTGACTGGGACGAGCAGAATGTGGAAGGAGCCTCGGAAGAAGCCGGACCTCTTCCCTACTGCTCAGTGGACGTACCGATGGACGAAGAAAACCCTCGCGAAAGCGTCAACGCCGAAACTTACTACCACTTCGCCGACAACGGTTACGTTACACCTGCTGAAGTCAACACCAACGAAGCAGAACGCATAGGGCCCAACTTCGCACCCGATCCAGAAACTGGAGACGAGGCAGTCTATCCCGAGGACACCACACTCCCCCGCTACACACAGAGCGGACTCCAAATCCTTGGGCTCGTCACCGCGGTCCACGGCGCTGACATTCCTAAGGAGCCTGCAACGGTTCAGCAGGCTCTGGGGGGGGAGCATAAAGAAAAATGGCGCGAAGCCATGGACAAGGAACTGAAGGCATTAGAGGAGCGCAACACCTGGAAAGTCGTTCCCATCGGCGTAGCGCGAAACAAGACCATTCTTACCGGGAAATGGGTCTTCCGTGTGAAGACGAAGGCCGACGGCACCATCGACAAGTTCAAAGCGCGTTGGGTCGTTCGCGGCTTCGACCAGGAACATGGACGAGACTTCACTGAAACCTTCGCTCCGGTCAGCCGCCACACTTCACTTCGAATTCTTCTCGCCATCGCCGCTATGAAGAAAAAGAAACTGCGCCAAATCGACGTCGCGAACGCATTTCTCTACGCACCGGTCGATGCAGAGATTTTCGTGGAACTACCGCACGGCTCCAACACAAATTCCACGCACGTCTGCCAGCTACTAAAATCGCTCTACGGGATCAAGCAGGCACCGCGACTGTGGCAGCAGTACCTGCATACTCGCCTCATCCGCATCGGCTTCAAACAACTCCCGCACGATCAGGGCATGTACCGCCTCACGAAGAACAGCGACTACATCTTGCTAATTGTCTACGTGGACGATCTTCTCTACATCGGCTCTACCGACGGCATCACCACCTGGTTCGAAGGGGAGCTGCAGAAGGACCTCACCCTCACTGTCTCATCTACCGTCACACAGTATCTCGGACTTAACATTCGAGAAGATAACGACGCGATCTACCTCAGCGCCGAAAAGTACGCCGACACCATCGCCAAACGATTCGGAATTACGCCAGCCGCGATCTCAACACCATACCGCTACACGACAGGAGCCGATAAGGAATCTGCCCCACTTAAGCCCGCCGGCATACGCGACTATCAGAGGAAGCTAGGTTGCCTCCTCTTCGCAGCCGTCACTTGCCGACCCGACCTATCCTACTCCGCAAGCCAGCTCGCCACTCATCTCAAGAAGCCTGAAGCAGAACATCTGGCGGAACTTGACCGCGCTCTGCACTACTTTATCAGCACCGCAATGATCGGCCTAACTTATCACAAGAACGCAGCTACACCAACCAAGCTAATCGGCTACGTCGATGCCGATCACGCCGGCGACACTGACAACAGGCGCTCACGCACCGGCTATGTCTACCGCCTCGAGCCTATCGGTCCTATCTCCTGGCAGTCGAGCAAGCAGGAGTTAATTGCACTATCTTCAGCCGAAGCAGAATATATCGCGCTCTGCTCAGCCACCAAGGAGGGACTTTACCTTCGCGAGCTGCTGGAAGAAGCGAAGTTAGCCGAGTTACCCAACTTCACCGTGTTCTGCGACAACCAGTCAGCAATTCGTATCGCCAACAAGAACGGCTTCGCGAACAGGACGAAACACATCGCCCTGCGTTACTTCTTCGTAAAGGACGAGATCGAGAAGGGGAGACTCGAGCTGTCATACTGCCCCACATCCGAGATGGCAGCTGACTACTTGACCAAGAAACTCGGAAAGCAAAAGTTCGAGTATTGCATGCTGCTGACTGGACAGAGCCACGTCACCAGCAGCGACACTCCAGAAGCGAAGGGGAGTGTTGGAAACAATAAAACTTAAGCGCTTCAGTCGTGTCGAAAACACCGCATCAGAAGCGAGGCAAACTACACCGAAGCACCCGCGAGTCAACCCTCGGGGGTTGAAGAGGTTGCTGGAGGTTACGCGAAAGTCAAAGGTCAGCAACCTTTGACCCGACAAGTACAGCGCGACAGTTAAGGACATACAACTGACTCGTTACAGAGCAGTTGCCCGAGTCGTACTGTATCGAACCGCAACAGCAACAGTAAAAGTAGTTATAACTGTATCCTTTGATATTCCTTGCACTACTATATATTCTTGTACTTTCCTGTTATAATCAATCTACTTTGCCCTCACATACTAGCGCAAGGTGGTTCACAATTTCTTCACTGAAAGCTTCCGCTATTACAATTGTCCTATCCAGAGTTCTCCCCTGAAAAGATCCTAAGGGGCTATCTCAGCCCAACAAGTAAATGGTCTGCTAGCACAATATCTGGGGTATGGAACACTCCACGCTGGCTACAAGGAAAATACACATGAAGTTTTGAAGTCAGGGTTCAAAGGTTTGGGGTGCCATTGTGTCTAGAGGCATCCCAAAGCATTGAACCCTACTCAACCTTATGCCCGAACCAAACCAAACCAAACCAAACCAAACCCAACCCAGCTAATTACCCACTGTTTTTACCACTATCTGCCGCTACCTCAGGCAGTCCTAATTCCAGAACCGCCCAGTGATCCCTGAAATGGTGTCCGCGCGCTTCGTGCAGCTGGGAAATCCGTAACAGAAGCGAAAGGCTCGTTAGCCTGCCGTCTCTGCTTCTCGTCTCCACGCTTCGCCCCTGCGACAGACTCTCAAGAGACTCTCCCGAACATCTTTCTTCGTACTCCTTTGTCCCTAATCCCTTCTCATCGCCTAAGCTTTGCCCTTCACGAGTCCCCACACGCGCGACGCGAGACCGATGGAGTCAGCATTCTTCGCGACAGCGACGCCAGCAGCAGCTCCAGCAACCGCCGCCGCCTTTACTTCCGCTCCTTGCTTTTTCTTTTTCCCCCCTCCCTGCGTCTCCACCTCCTGTCCCTTGCTGCTTCTAATTTCCGCGGCTTCGCGCTGGAAGACTTTAAGGACGTCTTTAGTGGCCATCTGTAGAACGATGTGGATGCACCGCTTGAAAAGATCGGGCGGCGCGACGGACGGCTGCACCACCTGATGCAGCACGAGCCGCGACGCCACGCGCGCGCCGTCGGACGGGGTCGCCGCGCTCTTCGTCGTCGTCTTTGCAGCGAGATCTGCGGCGGGATCTGCGGCGGAATCGCGCTCCGGGCTGCTGCAGGCGCTGCTGCTATCCCAGTCGCTGGCCGGATGGAAGGTATCGGAGAGCGGGGAGGACGGAGCGGAAGCGGTGTCGGAATCGGCGGAAGCGGAGGAAGTTGCGGAAATGGTGGAAGGGGCGGAGGTGGCGGAAGCGGGGACAACGAGCGGCTCGACCTGCCAGAAACCTTCGAACTTGCGCATGAGACCGGGCCGCGTTAGTTCGAAGGACATTTTGCGGTTCGGGCGGTCGTGCACCATGCGCATGTGCGCGTCGAATGTGCCTGTAAAGAAGGGTAGCTGGAACGCGAATACCATGTCCATCTCGAGCTCCTTCACCCCGTTATTGTCACTAAGAACCCGCTCGTTCTTAACAGACTTGATGTTCTTAAATACGCGACTGTTATGCGGATCGCATACGATGGAGAAGACGGCGTCAGGGGGAAGGCCGACGGTCGCGACTCCGTCGAGTTGACAGAGAGCGTTAGATCCGACGGAAACCGTCATTGACGGCGTCTCGTCGACCCAGTCGGGGTTTTGGAACCACGCGGCAAGCTCAGCCCGCATCACGTCTTCCCATGGTTCGGAGACCGAGGCGGAAACGGCAACGGTCTGCTGTGTAGCAGTGTCGTTAGCACCCATGATAGAGTGATGATGACGTGGTTTTATTACGAAAGGTAGCGAGTGATGCGGACCGGGCAGTGGAGCGCGGGCGCGGAGTGCGGTTGGTAGCAAAGATGGACGGCGGTGAGGTGTGGAAATGAGACAAAGCTCAAGAAAGTGGTGTCGGAGAGCAGACACAACCAGGGAGGAATGGGAAGTGAAAAGCTTCTCTCTTCTCAAGAATGGATGCGAGGAAGGAGGACCTGTAGGAGCTTGGAAGGGAAAGACTTGAAAATTTCTGATGGGGGGGAAGAAGCTGCGGAAGGATTTTGTATTGCAGTTTGACAGACTGACGTTCGGAGTCTGATTGGTCGAAGCGTAGATTTCTCTCCTTCCGGAGTGGTTCAGAATTTCGTCGGTGGATGGACGAGTGGCTTCGCACGCGTTTTCGCTTGCCCGCGACGTTTCGAAACGGCAGGTCCGCCATGAAAATTTTTTACCCCGCCCACTGGAGTGAAGGAGCAGGAGTCGGGACGGAGGTGGCGGCGGTGGGAAAGCGGGTTGAAGAATCAAAACCATTCTGACTCCGGGCAGCGACTCGGGAAAGAATGGGAACCCCAGCCCAGACCCCCAGGGTTCCCTAAACCCTGGCCTACCACACCCTCGACAGGTCTGGTGAGGGTTTTTCTTCTGTTTGCCACGGGCAGGTGAGTGTGTGGCGTGGAGGCTGCAGAGAGGGACACAGCGGTGTGTCAAGCCCGTATGTTTATTTCTGAAACGCTGCCCAATTCACAGCCCTAACAAAAAAACGTCCACAACTATTTTCCCGAGGCAACGGGTGGTGGTGCGGTCTGCTCTGCAACGATGGACGGATGTGGTGAAGCTGCTCGCGGAAGCTTGTTTGAACGGCGCGCCTGTCGGCTTGCAGTTTGTCGATATCAATCAAAGATGACGTTTCCGTCACACTGATGACAAATCAGTTGGCTGCAGTTTGCCGAAACCGTGGGGTGGGGCGGAGGAGATGCCTTTACGCGTGTGGCGGGCGCGCGACGCGCCGCTGGCTGGCACGAGAACCTGCTGGGCAATTGCCCCTTTTTATCAACTGGTGGTACACCCGATGCTCGATAGAGTCCCCCATACTCGGCGTATGAAGTGGGCCTATAAGTGGTTTGCCCTCTTCTTTTATATTCGCTCAGCTCGCTCCAGGTAAGGGGGGCTTCTAACTGGCATTTGTAACCACTAGGGAAAGTCAAATGTGAACAGTGTGGTGTTGCTGTGTTTGGTGGATGTGGTCACCCCGATGTTACCAGCCTTGACAAGTTCAATGAAGCTCACAATTTCACAAACACTCACAACCCCCCAACACGAAGCAACCACAATTCCACGTCCAATCAGCAACATACACCTGCCAAATTGAAACTGAATCAGGGGCTACTGACAGTGCCCCAGCGTGCACAAGATGTGCACGCTTCTACACCGAGGAGATTCAATCTCCTCCTGGGGGGTCCAAACCCCTCTCACATTGTCATCCACTCCGCGGCATCGACATAGCCGTTCATCACGGCAGTCATGCCAGAGTCGATGAGCTGCTGGCGCGTCGGCGCCGGCGCATACATCCACGCAGGAAGGACGCGCCCGCGGCGACTCCTCGTCGCCGCGGGGCCGTCCACATGAGCGGCCGGCGAATGCGCGCCACTCTCAGATGCGAGCAGCCCAGGGGTGGTTGGAGGCGCCGCGTTGAGGTTCAGGGGCGGGCTCGCGCGCTCCATACGTGCCACGATGATGGGGTTCTTGATCTCGAAGAGCGCGCACAGGTTGCGCGGGGTGATGCCGGTCACTTTGGCATAGCCGATTAACATCTCGCTTGCCGCCCGCGCATAACGCCTCGCCTCGCGACTCTCGGGCTGGTCGTCATCGTACGCCTCCTGCATGGTGGCGGGCGGCTCCCATGATGTCGCCGAATACGGCGTGCGGGGCTCAATGGCCAGCGGATCATCGCCCGGCTCCGCGCACGTAGGCTGATCGTCGTCGATGGCGACGAACTCGGCGGCGGGCATGGCGCTCGGGCCGAGGCGCAGCCCGGCGATCATGATGCCGACGTCGCCGATGTCCTCGTCGAGGTCGATGGGGAGCGCCGCCACGACACCGTCGCCAACCGGGGCGAGTCCGTCACGGCCGACATGCGCAAGATCCATGGCCCAGGAGCGCGGCATGCAGCCCGTCCGCCACCAGCAGCGCTGGATCGTGCGGGCGGGGATGTTCATCCAGGTATCGGAGAGCCATGCGATGACATCACGCATGTTCGGGTGATAGCGCGCAAGCGCAGCAGGCGAGCCGCCGGCCTCCCACAGGCTTGTGACCGTGCGGAGCCAGTGCTGGCGGTAGCGTGCCTTCGTGGTGGCAATCAGCCCCTGGTCAAGCGGCTGCGTGAAAGCAGTCGTGTTGGGCGGCAGGAAGACCAGACGGATGTTCCCGAGAACGCGGGTGCGAAATCCGAAGAGGTCTTCAGATTCCGCATCCTCACTCTGCAGGTTGTGGCTGCTGGCATTGTCAACCAGGATGACAATGTTGCGGTCCTCGGCCACCATGGCAGCGTTAAGCTGCTCGATGAAGTGCGTGAATAACTGAAAATGTGAAGAAAAACATATAAGGGAAAAAACAACATGTAAACATTCGCCTGGTGTTCGGGCACTAGCATACATGGCTTGGGGGGGTGTGTGTTACGCAAAATGACAACAACTCAAGGGCATGTAGTCGGCTTCAACGACTTACTGGGGCCGTCATCCAGCCCTTGGCGTTGCTACGCCAATAGCAGAGATCCTCAGGGTCGTAATCGGGAAGGAAGTCCCGAGGGCGCTTAGACTTCGATATCACCAATGGGCGGAAGGCGTGGCTCCCGTCCGCGTTAACAAGCAGCCCGACGGTGAGACGCTGCTTTGCCAGCTTGCGCCCGGCGACACGCGCACCTCCGTATGTCTTGCGCAGTAGCACAGAGAGGAAGAGTGCCGTCTCGTCGAAATTATACACGTCGCAGGGGCGGAGAGTGTCAAACATATATGCTGGATATTGTCTAGGCTGTAGTGGGGTAGCCCATATGGGGTACAGCCCAATTAGGGTTTACTACTTGTACTCCTGCATGCTGCTAGTTCATTCATTCCTGCTGCTAGATTCTAACATGGTTTCAGAGCACTAAGGTCCGTAGGACCGTTTTTTTTTTCGGGCCCACCTACCGCTGCGGTTACCGCGCTACCCCACGTACCTGCCTGCCTTGCCTTGCCTTGTGACGTGCTGCACTATGTGCGCCGTCCAGCAGCCCTAGCGCTGCCTCCTACTGCCCTAGGCCAGCGCACTGCCCCTAGAGGCCCGTAAGGCCCACGCGCCGCCCCTAGAGGCCCGTAAGGCCCGCGCAGCCTGCTGCAGCCGCGCGCAGCCCGCACAGAGCCCGCGCAGCCCGCGCCGAGCCGCGCGCAGCCCGCTGCAGCCGCGCGCAGCCCGCACAGAGCCCACGCAGCCCGCGCCGAGCCGCGCACAGCCCGCTGCAGCCGCGCGCAGCCCGCACCAAGCCGCACACAGCCCGCTGCAGCCGCGCGCAGCCCGCAGCTGCCGCGCGCAGCCCGCGTCGAGCCGCGCGCGGCCTGCTACGGCCTCGCGAGGCCCGCGCGCGGCCCGCAGCAGCCCGCGCCGAGCCGCGCGCGGCCTGCTACTGCCTCGCGCGGCCCGCGCGCGGCCCGCAACAGCCCGCGCCGAGCCGCGCGCGGCCCGCTACTCCCTAGCGCGGCCGCGCGCGGCCTGCAGCAGCTCCACGCGCTGTCAGCGCAGCCCGCGCCGAGCCGCGCGCGGCCCTCTGCCTCGGCCACGACCTGCCGCTGATGCGGCCCCGCCCAGCAGCTGCCATGGCCCCGACCTGCCGCTGATGCGGCCCCGCTCTGCAGCTGCCACGGCCCCGACCTGCCGCTGACGCGGCCCCACCCTGCTACTGCCGCTGAGACGGCCCCGCCCTGCAGCTGCTTCGGCCCTGCTCTGCAGCCGGTTTTGCGGCCCCGACGCCGCCGCTGTCGTGCGCCTACTCGGCCGCCGCCCGTCGAGCGCCGGCCCTGCTCGCCTGGTGAGCACCTGCCTGCCTGCCTGACGACCTGCCTGTCTGCCTGCCTGCCTGCCGGCCTGGCTGCCTGCCTGCCTGCCGGCCTGCCTGCCTGCGCGACTGCCTGCCTGCCTGCCGGCCTGCCTGCCTGCCTGCCGGCCTGCCTGTCTGTCTGCTTGCCTGCCTGCCTGCCTGCCTGTCTGCCTGCCTGCCTGCCTGCCTGGCTGCCTGCCTGCCTGCCGGCCTGCCTGCCTGCCTGCCTGCCTGCCTGCTTGCCTGCCTGCCTGCCGCGCCTGCCTTGCCCGCGCTACTGCTGCTACTGCTACTGGCAGGTGGCCAGATGCAGCTCCAGCGACGTTCACGCGAGCCTCTGACGCCCCAGCAGCTTAGTGAGTGGTATACTAGCTGGGGTTGTCGCAGTAGCCGTCGTAGCTGTCGGGCCTGGAGCTGGTCAGTTGGGAGCGTCTGGCAGTGGCCCGCTACAGCTGCAGGGGCGTCCACGTGAGACACTTACGCCCCGGCAGCTCCAGGAGTGGTACGCTCAGTGTAGCAGGTCTACGCGTACAGTTCGCTGCCCGTACGTCATTCGCACAGGTGTTAGGACTGGTCAGCCTTGTGGGACGCTTGGTCACACACAGTCCCGCTGCTTCGCTCGTCTGAGCGACGACTGGCGCACAGTGTTTGGCGACGAGGCTGAGCTCCCCACCTGGCTGGAGCTGCATGGACAGAGGGTAGATATCTTTGCGCGTGACTATGATGCTATTCTCACTGCCATGTATGCATTGCCTACTAGTGCTGATCGTGCCTGTTCTCTGTGCGTACCGCCTGACCCTGGTGAGGCTGCTGCTCTAGGTGCTAGTGCGTCTCCTGCTCTAGGTGCTGGTGAGGCTGCTGCTCTCGGTGCTAGTACGTCTACTGCTCTAGGTACTGGTGAGGCCGTGGCGTCAGGTGCTGGTACTGCGCCACCTACGGTCTCGCACACCTTCACCCTTGACTCAGGAGCTTCTCGCTCCTTCTTTCGCGACTGCACCACACTCACGCCGCTCAGTCGGCCAGTTCCAGTCTCCCTGGCGGACCCCTCCGGGGGTCCAGTCCTTGCTCACTACTCCACGGTTCTGCCGTGTCCGGCCGTCCCGTCCGGCTCGCTGTCAGGTCTTTACCTCCCCTTGTTCTCTACGAACTTGGTGAGTGGAGCTGACCTCCAGGATCGGGAGGTTGACCAGTTCACTCCTGCGAGTCAGCGAGTGACTCACTGTACGTGTGCTAGGACGGGCCGGCACTTGGCCACGTTCACCCGTGCACCTGGCTCGAGTCTGTACACACTGACCACTGAGTCCCCTCAGGTAGCTGCGTCTGCGTCTACGTCTGGTCAGCTGGCGGCCCCCTGTGAGTGTCGCGCTTTGTCGCACGACACTCTCCTGTGGCACCACCGTCTTGGTCACCCCTCCTTGCCTCGCCTGCGTCGCATGCACTCTCGCTCCCTGGTCTCTGGTCTTCCCAGGTCTCTGCCTGCCCTCCCTCCCTCGCCTGCGCCGCCCTGCATTCCTTGCGTCGAGGGGCGGCAGCGCGCCGCTCCTCACTCCTCCTCGTTTCCTCCCACAGAGGCTCCCCTGCAGACGCTCCACCTGGACGTGTGGGGCCCAGCCCGCGTCCAGGGACAGGGCCGCGAGCGGTACTTCCTGCTGGTCGTCGACGACTACACGCGTTACACCACGGTCTTCCCCTTGCAGAGCAAGGGGGACGTCCCTGATGTTTTGATCCCTTGGATCCGCGCTGTTCGTCTCCAGCTCCGCGAGCGGTTCCGGCGGGATTTTCCTGTCCTGCGTCTGCACTCTGACAGAGGTGGTGAGTTCTCCTCTGACCTCTTGGCAGCCTACTGTGCGGAGCACGGCATCACCCAGTCGTTCACGCTTCCGGCCTCTCCACAGCAGAATGGGGTTGCTGAGCGTCGCATTGGCTTAGTCATGGAGGTCGCTCGTACTTCCATGATCCATGCGGCTGCCCCCCATTTCCTGTGGCCGTTTGCGGTCCGGTACGCCGCGCATCAGCTCAACCTCTGGCCCCGTGTCTCCTTGCCGGAGACCTCGCCCACACTGCTGTGGACGGGGAAGGTTGGTGATGCGTCGCGTTTCCGGGTCTGGGGTGCTCGTGCCTTTGTCCGCGATACCACCGCGGACAAGCTCTCCGCCCGCGCTGTTCCCTGTGTCTTCCTTGGCTTTGTCCCTGACGCGCCTGGTTGGCAGTTTTACCATCCCACCTCGCGCCGTGTCTTTGCGTCTCAGGACGTCACGTTCGACGAGTCGGTTCCCTTTTACCGTCTCTTCCCCTACCGCACTGCCCCGCTCCCCCCCCCGCTGCTCTTCCTCGCTCCAGGTGCTCCCCAGGTAGACCCCCTCCCCACTCCTGGTCCTGCTCCTTCAGGTGTTTCTCAGGTAGACCCTCCTCCCTTGACTGCGCCGGTTGAGGTCACTGGTGACTCAGGTCCTACTGAGGGTGGTCCTTCTCCGAGTGCTACTTCTAGGGGTGCTGAGCCTGGGGGTGCGGAGCCTGGGGGTGCTGAGCCTGGGGGTGCTGAGCCTGAGGGTGCGGAGCTTGAGGGTGTGGAGCCTGGTGGTGCTGAGCCTGAGTGTGAGGGGTCTGGGGGTGCTGAGCTTGGCGGTGCTGACGCTGGAGGTTCTGGAGCTACTGAGGGTGCTGGCGCTGGAGGTTCTGGAGCCGCTGGAGGTGCAGGTGCTGAGGGTACTGACACCGGAGGTTCTGGAGCCGTTGGGGGTGCGGGCGCTGAGGGTTCTGAGTCTGCTGTTGCGCGGTCTCCTTGGAGTAGCCGCCTTCGTCCACGTGTGCCTCTCACCCCACAGCAGCTGCAGGACTGGTACGGTCGCCGTCCGCGTCGCGCTGCTGGAGCTAGGAGTGGTGCTGGACCTTTGTCTACTGGAGGTGCTGGAGTCGCTGGTTCTGGAGGTGCTCGTACTGGAGACACTGCGGCTGGAGACCCTGGGACTGGAGGTGCTGGCTCTGGGGGTGCTGCTGCTGGAGACACTGAGGCTGGAGACCCTGGGACTGGAGGTGCTGGTTCTGGGGGTGCTGCTGCTGGAGACACAGAGGGTGGAGACCCTGGGACTGGAGGTGCTGGTTCTGGGGGTGCCGCTGCTGGAGACACTGAGGCTGGAGACCCTGGGACTGGAGGTGCTGGTTCTGGGGGTGCTGCTGCTGGAGACACAGAGGTTGGAGACCCTGGGGCTGGAGGTGTCGGCTCTGGGACTGGAGCTTCTGGAGCTGCTGGAGGTGCTGGAGCTGCTGGAGGCACTCGAGCTGCTGGAGCTGCCGCTCCTGGTGCAGCTGCGCCGACACGACGGTTCTTCGCTCCGCCGTCTCCGTCGTCTCTGCCGCCGTCTGACTCTGTTCTTCGTCAGGTTCAAACTCTCCCGTCGTCTACTGGTCTTCCGTTACAGCCCGGCTCACCGCTGCCTGCTCCTTCTCCTTACACTGTGCAGACTGGTAGTCCTGCTGAGCGTCGTGAGCCTGCGTCGCGTCCTGTTTCGCCTGTTCGTCCTAGTCGTACCGGTCGTCGTGTTCCTTGTTCGCGTCAGCCGGCTGTCCCCAGCGCACACCTCGTAGTCCGTCGTCCTTCCTCTGCTCCGCAGCCTGTTCCTCTGCCGAATCCTCCTGCGTCCTCTTTGCCTGACGTTCCGGACCCTGCGTCTGACCGGTTTCGTGCTGAGCACCCTACTGTCACGCGTCTACTAGCCACTGTTGTCACTGACCCGTCGTTTGAGTCTACTGCTGCGTCTGCTCTTGTCGCTGAGCTTGTTGACTTTGCTGCTGCCTGTCGTCTAGACTTCGCTGCCAGTCTTGTTGCTGAGTCTGAGTCTGTCTGTCCTCCGTCCGACGGGGGTGAGTGTGCTCTTAGCACGGACGTCCTTGAGGACAGGCACGAGGACCTTGAGTGTCTTGCAGCCGCTGCGCCTCATCTCGTTGCCATGCTGCTTGCCCCTGAGGGAGACCCGGATGCACCAGACATCCCGACCCCGCGCTCTTACGCTGAGGCGATCGCGGGTGAGTACTCCTCTCAGTGGCAGACAGCCATGGACGCAGAGATGGCATCCTGGAAGTCCACAGGCACTTACGTCGACGAGGTTCCCCCTCCTGGGGCGAACATCGTCAGTGGCATGTGGATTTTCAGGGTGAAGCGGCTGCCAGGTTCTCCGCCTGTCTTCAAGGCGCGTTACGTTGCTCGAGGCTTCAGTCAGCGAGATGGAGTTGACTTCTTCCAGACCTTCTCCCCCACCCCGAAGATGACCACTCTTCGGGTGCTGCTGCATGTTGCTGCTCACCGTGACTACGAGCTTCACTCTCTTGACTTCAGCACAGCTTTCTTACAGGGCAGCCTGCACGAGGAGATCTGGCTGCGCCGCCCCCCGGGCTTCACTGGGTCGTTCCCTCCTGGCACCCAGTGGAGCCTCCGGCGGCCGGTCTACGGTCTCCGCCAGGCACCACGTGAGTGGCACGACACACTGAGGACTACGCTTGCGGCTCTTGGGTTTGCGCCTTCTACTGCTGACCCGTCGCTGTTTCTGCGCACCGACACTTCACTGCCGCCGTTCTACATCCTCGTGTACGTCGACGACTTGGTTTTTGCCACTGCTGACACTGAGGCTCTCGCCCACGTGAAGTCGGAGCTGCAGAAGAGACACACGTGCACAGACTTGGGTGAGCTGCGCAGCTACCTTGGCTTGCAGATCACCCGGGACCGAGCACGCCGCACCATCACCTTCACTCAGTCACACATGGTGCAGCAGGTCCTTCAGCGCTTCGGCTTCACCTGGTCTTCAGCACAGGCCACTCCTCTGGCTACAGGTCACACGCTCTCAGCTCCACCTTCGGACGAGTCCGTAGAGCCGAGTGGTCCTTACCCAGAGCTAGTCGGCTGCCTCATGTACCTGATGACTTGCACTCGACCTGACCTCGCGTACCCTCTTGGTCTTCTGGCTCGCTACGTGGCTCCTGGTCGGCACCGACCTGAGCACATGGCTGCTGCTAAGAGGGTACTGCGCTACTTGTGCAGCACATCAGGCATGGGGCTAGTGCTTGGAGGGACGAGCCCAGTTGTCCTCACTGGGCACTCAGACGCTTCTTGGGTTGACGACCTGGCTACTCAGCGGTCGTCACAGGGTTACACCTTCAGCCTTGGCTCTGGTTCAGTTTCGTGGCATTCTACACGCTCGTCTTCAGTTCTCAGCTCCAGTTGTGAGGCTGAGATCTACGCCACAGCCATGGCTGCACAGGAGTTACGCTGGCTCACCTACCTGCTGACTGACTTGGGAGAGCAGCCTCGTTCTCCTCCAGTGCTGTACGTCGACAACAAGGCCGCCATTGCCTTGTGTGAGGAGCACAGACTGGAGCACAGAACGAAGCACATTGCTCTGCGTTACTTCCTGGCTTGAGAGTTGCAGCAGCGAGGCCAGCTTCGTCTTCGTCACGTGGCCACTCGGGCCAACACTGCTGATATATTCACCAAGGCACTTCCGTCTGGTGATCATCAGCGCTTTTGTACCCTGTTAGGCCTTGTGCCTACGCTTCCACACTTGCTGTAGTTTCTGCTTGTACTGTGATCTATATATATACATGCATGCCTGCTCTTGCTAGGTAGTCATCACTGTACTGTTATTGTTGCATATATATCTCTGCATGTGGACTGGCCTTGTGGCCCTTTGCTTGTGCTCAGAATGTGTGGTGACGTTGAGATCCACCCTGAGCTTGCTTTGCTTCTCTTGACTGGTCGTTTGACCCCTTGTTCTCCCCCACTTTGCCTATGGGGGTGTGTCAAACATATATGCTGGATATTGTCTAGGCTGTAGTGGGGTAGCCCATATGGGGTACAGCCCAATTAGGGTTTACTACTTGTACTCCTGCATGCTGCTAGTTCATTCATTCCTGCTGCTAGATTCTAACAGAGAGCAGGGTACATCAGAAGCTGCGGGAGTTGCTGCTGGCAAGTCCGCACCGCGGCGTGATCCTGGTCCGCGGCCTCGCCAGTCGCGCTGCGGCAACGAATGCCGTGGCGACGCATGGCGCGGCGCACCCACCCTACGGAGCAGCGGAACGTGGGGGGGAGATTCATGCCGCGCGCGATGACCGCGACGTGGTCGCAGATGGTGGCGAGGGTGAGCGGGACTCCCGCAGGGCCGGCGTTTCGGATCCACCGCACCATTGCGAGCTCCAGCTCCGGGTATGCGCCGCCACGCACGCGCACGGTGTTGTTATTCGGGGCGACCCAACGGTCAGCGCTCTTCAAGACGCGCCCAATAGTACTACGGTCGGGACGGATCCTGTAGCGCGTGAAACACCACCGCGCCAGGTCGACCTGGCGCATGTTGGGGTTGCTCACATGCTGGGCACAAATCGCACGCTTGATATGCACGGGGACCTGCGATCGGCGGTAGAGGCGCGGCATGGTGGTGGAGATTAGAGACTAATAAGTCTCAGTGACAAGTTCAGGCTGGGGACTTGTCATTTTATGGTTGCCTCACGTTTGTGTTGGTGTGGTGTTGTCGAATGTGCTGCCGCGGCGCATGAGTTTGGTTCATCCCTCGCATGAGTGCATTTCGCCACATTTCAAAGCCTGTAACAACTCCCCGAAATGCGCATGTTTCGGGATGGTGGTCTGTTACACGCACTGGGTAACCTGGGGAGGAGGATATGACGTGTGCATAAATGCTCATTGTGAATGGGGACGTGTTTGTATCTCTCCCCGGCAATGTACACGTGGATATATTGCCGCTCGGTTGAGCGTTTGGTGCACAAGCAGCCATGCGGACGTGGCGTACACTGCCTGGCGAAAATGTGCGCGACGTTGCGGAAACCGTGGCCACATTTTTCGCCGTGCATGACTCTGGCCTTGAAAATGGGTTCAACCTGGGGCTGAGTCTTTTGTCCTGATGTTCACGTCATTATTTTGTCGCCCTGCCATCCACTCGCAAGTAGTTTGGCGCGCTTATAAGCAGGGTGCAGCTGGCTGGGGAAAATCTCACGTGGGCAGGCTTTCCGAAAGGGGCAGGGCAAATACGGGCGCAGTGGTCGGGCATTGTGTGTACTGTAGTGACACACACGAGCGCGAAACGTTCTGCACTGGAATGTCGGTTGATCGCGTGCCTACGGTAGGCTTTCTTTCCCTACTGTACAGTACACGTAATCCCTGACCAACCAACCAAGCTAGCGACTGCACGGCAGCAACCAACCAACCAAAACCCGATATACTCAACACAGAGTCGGCTCCAAAGGTATACAAGACCATTATTATAAAACTTGCACTTATTTCACACCACCACCACAACAAGAGCATCCGGAACCAGCTTGGAAAATGCCAAATCTCCCCCCAGTTGCAACCAATCAACCTGAAGCTCTTGCTTTTTGTATGCAACCTCCCTATATTGACTACTTGCCCTTTGCTCCCTCTGGTCAACTAACCATTGCGATTCAACCTCACTGTTTTCACTGCCTAAGTTCGCCCAACCCTCTGGTTCTCCATCCAGGATGTCCCTCCCCTTCCTGCACATCCCCTTCCCAGCTTCCTTGCTTATCGTCCCCATCACCACTTCCAAACCCCGGCCGACCACAAAAAGACAATTGTTACCACACGCAGCCATGCGCAAGGGTGGGCGTAGGAAGAGGGGCAAAGGAGGGCCAATCACCAGCTGCCACTTGTCAGTATCTGGGCAGTAGGAAAAGAGCCTGGTAGCAAAGGGGCAAAGGGAGTATGGGATGGATGGAGGAAGAGAGATAGGGGGAAAGGAGAGGGCGGAAGAGGGGGGGTTGGGGGGGCAGTGGGGAAAGGTGGGGTGAGTAGGGGGAGGGGGGAAGGTATGCAAAGTGAAATGAGGAAAATGAAGTTGGGGGGTGCCAGGGAGAAGAAGGGATTCCAGACGAATGGGCATATCATTGTGAACGGGAAAGCAAGCTGACCCTTCACCTCACAGTCGAGGCACGGGAGTGACAAACGGCCTGATATGAGTCTACTTTAGAGTCGACTCGAAAGTCAAAGCCCGGGCATGAGAGCGATAGACGTGTCTTGCCATGCACCATGGCATCCCCTCCCAACCACAAACCTCACAAGCCACCAGGTGACTTCTGGTCGACTCATAAGTCAAAGTCGGGGGAGTGACAGAAGTGTCGTGCCATGCACCATGGCATCCCCTTCCAACCACAAACCAGGCATGTTTTGAGACGACTGAAAACTCACCCCTCCCAATGTCAAACCTCACAAGCAACCACACAGCACGGCACCCATGCTGGTGCCGTGACTCAAGGCACCACCAGGCACCACACATCACCGCACACCACCACCCCATGTGCCATCAGCACGCACCCGCGAGTCTTCCCTTCTTGCACCAGAGTGACAAGTGCTTGTGCAATGCACCACGTCACTCACATCTGTGCTCTCTCTCAACGAGTACAGGACCACACCTCTTATGCCACCAACCAGCACCGCACACCACCGCCTTGCATGCCCCCAGCACGCACCCGCGGGTCTTCCCCTCCTGCACCAGAGTCACAAGCGTGCCATGCACCCCAACACTCACACCTGTCTACGCTATAGCCTATACACCCAGCGTTCTCCCAGCAATCACGCCCCCAGAACGCACCTGCGAGTCTTACCCTCCTGCAGGAGGGTCACAAGCGTGTCCCCTCCTGCAACCCCTCTCCGCCTCCGTGTCATCACCCAATTCAAGTCTGCAAATTTCATGCCCCTTCAACGCACCTGCGGGTCTTGCCCTCTTGCACAAGAGTCACAAGCGTATCATGCACCACGGCACTCACGCCCGTCCATCCCTCCGCCATGCCTTCAGCCATTGCCACCCACACTGATGCAATGCCTCCCCGCCTCCCATCCAATCCAAGACCGAAATTTTTATGCCCCCAGCACACACCTGCGAGTCTTCCCCTCCTGCACGAGGGTCACTAGTGTGTCATGAACCACAGCACTCACGCCCGTCCATCCCTCCGCCATGCCTTCAGGCATTGCCTCCCACACTGCTGCAATGCCACTCCGCCCCACGCCTTGGCCCATGTTTTGCCCTTCCGCCCGGCCCTGCCCCTCTCCCATGCCCTCGGGTCCTAGGGTTTCTCGTGTCCTGCTTGCCTCCCCACCACCTCCACCTCCCCCTTCTCCTCTTCGTCCCTCTCCTTCTCCCAGCCCCTGGCCAATCGAAGCACCCCCTTGCCCCTTCTCCTTTTCCTTTTCCCGGGTGAGCTTATAAAGGGGACAGGAGAACCCACGGGGCGAGAAGTGAAACGGCCACTGCCAACCTTCAGTCAGAAAGAGGGTCCCTCCAAAACTTGCCGCCCCAAAGCTGGAAAACGCCAAAGGCAGCGGTGGGATGGACTGCCACGTGTCAGTCTCTGGTTGGTAGACTTCCGCTGATTTGATCTCCTCGAGCTCTGCTGCATTGCCTCCTGCCACTATTATTTTTCCACGGGCAGCCCAGGAGGCAAAAAAACTGCGGGGAGCGATGAGATTGGCCAACTGGGTCCAGCGGGCAGTTTGAGGGTCGTACCTGAAATTGCAGATGGCGGGAGGGGGAGGGGGGTTGGGGAGTGGGGGGGAGTTGGGGGGACACTTAAAATACAGGATTTGAAAAACGATAACAGAGCATGTCAGGGGCGCTACAGAACATTGAAAAAAATGCAAAGAAAAGGGAAGGAAGAATCAAAAAAGAAAAACGACGATGGAAGAGGGGAGGGTGTCATGGCATAATCCAGCGATAAAAAAACTGTACGGCAAGCCAGCTCATTTAAAAAACACGAGGGGAGTTACTTCCAAGTCTGCTTCCATGAGTGAGCAGTGTGTTTACTTAGAGGGCTGGCATAACTGCAACTTTTTGCTAAGAGCCCAGACACACGCAAAGCACACCTGATTGGTGCAAAACCTCTTTTTTGCCCCTCACCTGAAAGTGTCAGCCAATGGTTTTTTGCGGTCAGACCCTGTTCCTCCAATCATGTAAAGACACCTGTCAAGGCCCACACACCCCACTCCCGAGGCTTCCCATTGGCCAGCGCCACGTGGGTGGGGAATCTTCTGCCACCCAGCGCTTTCTGCAAATGCGTGCCACTCGAAATGTTTTCTAGGCTGCCCGACTGCCCGGACGAACAACCACGGCTCGAGACGATTGGCTGCTGTTCGAAGGCGCAGGCAGCGTGGGCTGTCTAAAAAAACTTTCCATGCCCGGTTTACCTGCCTGAGGATAAGGGATAAGGTGATGAGACGGCAGGGAAAGAACGAGGAGACAAGAGAGAGAAGGCAATGAGGCACGGGGGGGTGGGGGGAACGGGGATAAGCGAATGAGAATGGCGGGGCAGATGGCGTGGGCGGCCTGAAAACGACTTCGTAAAATAATATAAATACATAAATAATACAGGTTCAAGGGATGCGGAGATAGGGGAGGGGAGAGAGGGGGGAAGGAGGGGGTGTTGGTGGTGGGGTGGGGGGGAAGGCGGGGGGGGGGGAAGGGAGGAGGGGGGAAGAGATGAAAAAGAATGTGCAGGCAATGCAGCAACAGACATCCTCCCCTCCTGCCAGTGCCCCTCCGAAACAACGGTGCAGCTCTCTCACACATTCGCACCCACCAACCCACCCACCCGTTCTACAAACGATCGCCCTGCCATTTCAAACTCACGTCGAATAAGAAAAACATTCACACACGCACGCGGTACCTGCATAGCTATGAGACGATTTTTGAGTCGACTCAAACCACGCACGCGGTACCTGCATTGCTGTATTAAGGTTCGCGGAAGCCGGATGAGGCACAGTTCCGCCACGTCATCCGGTAGCCCCGGAAGAAGAGGCTGCCACGTGGCAGAGCAGCCAGAAAGCGCCTGGCCTGTGCGCTTGCTCAGATGCGCGGCGCTACGATCATTGTGGAAGCTGCCGTGATCGTCGGCGTCGTCTCGTCCGCGCGCTTCGCGGGGCAGAGGCGTAAGCGGATCAACGACTGCTGACGCGTCTTCTGACGGAACGTGAGTTGACGGATCGGCTACTAACGGCTCGTGTGGCAACCTGGCAGGATGTCGCGCCGCGAAGTTCTGCTCTGCGCGATCCGTGGTACCGTTAGACGGCTGCTGTGGCTGCGCCGACTGCTGCAGTCGGCTAGACGCCCATTTCCGCCAGTTGACGGCAGTTAACTCGCCGAATATAGGTCCTGATTTTCCGACGGGGCTGTGCGGAAGATTGGAGGCGGAAATTTGTGGGGATTGCGACGCGAGAGCGGCGCCGATGGGATTATCGACTGCAGCGGATGACATTGGCGTCGGTTTTCGGCGCGGCGAGTCAAGCAGCAGAAACAGCAGCAGATAGAGAAACTACAAATGGGCTGGTGAGTCGTGAAGGGATGCTGAGAAAAGGATTAGGAGACGGTGAGCTGTTTGTGAGAAATGCTCTATTGCTTTCTAGGCTTGAGCTGAGATGGAGGGGGAAGGGGATGGGAGTTGCCAGGAGAATTGTGAAATAGCAAGTGCGCGCACAGGGGCGAAATACACATAGTCCTCGCCAACTTCACTATGGGCAATTTCACCCCCCTGTGTACTCGATGTTCAATTACCCGAAATTGAGGGTTGTTTCAAACAATTTGGCTTTAAGTAGAGCAACGTCTAGGACAGCGTAAATGAGTCAGCGGGAAACAAAAGAAGATTGTCGCAGTGAAAGATTCAGTCTTTGCGTGGCGGGCTCAACGTCAGACGGGGCACATTGAAACTTTACAATGCCTCGGATAGCCTCAAGCTCGTGGGTGTCTGATCTCTATAGCCAAAAACGGTCAGTTTGGCTTTAAGGAAGAACTGACTGGGCGTGAAATTGGCGAGGGCTAGGTGTAGTTGACATTGAAATAACTTTGCTGCCCCGGTCACTTAGCGACTAGCTAACAACACCATCGACGACTTGCGAACGTGGTCTGGGGTCAAATGTCATTCACAAAGTTTGTTTTGGAATTTCGGCCAATGAAAGAAAAACTTGATCGAAACAGCGGATTCTTGTCGTTCTGCATGCCTTTCAAATGTGTCTTCGCAACCAATCACAACGAGAGCTGAAAATTTTCGCGGATGGATGACAGGTGTCGCGCGACACGCCCTGAGATTGCCAGATTGCCGAAATAGTCGCCAACGCTGATGTGCAAGCGCTCGGAGGGGTTATTGGTCCCGCATGCGACAGTCTGACTAATTTGTGTAAAGCTAGGAATCGCAGAAGCAATACCAAGTTACGATCACAAAAGAAGTAGCCTGTTAACGCGGATACGAAGAACCTGAGCGGGGCACATGCCAGATGGATCCAGCGCGCATCTCGCCACGCGTCATCCAGCCCTCCTGACGATCGTGTGTGTAGGAATCCATCCACGTCGACAAATCTGGGCAGCCACACACCGTCAGGACGCCTCGTCATCCATCCACATCCAAAATCCACTCACCCGTGCTAACCACTATCTCGAATCATTGACCGTCCGATTAAGGAAGGGCGCTTCCGCCGGATATTATTCACCCTTCGTTCAAATCTACCATCCATTCTAGAATGTGGTGGTGTAGGGCGTGCTCACACCGACGTTTTAGCAAGTTCAACAGCTAAGCGACACAGACCGTTTCTCTGGATCAGGGCATTTTTTTCGCAAGAAGCACGGTACAAACGAGTTCCAAAAACGGGCAAATACTTTTGTAATTCGTTGTTTTTGCGAACAACAATCTTTCTGAACAAGTCGTTTTCTGGTTCTGAATCCGTTGGTGTGACAGGACTAATCCGCCAAAATCAGGACTACAGTACATAAGGAGAAGCTGGAGCAAAGCACAAGCACACACCAAGCACTAATCGGCTTCAAGGCATTCGCGACATTTACGGAGAGTAGCAGCCGCAACCGCACACCAGCTTCGCTCCGTTTCGCGGCATTGAGCGAGCCGCGTGCCCACACTGCAAAGACATCCGACCGTACGGCAGCATTGCCCTTTTCTCCTAACAGCCAAACTCAGCTGTCCTCGTGGACCTTCCATCCCAACCCCCGCTGTTTTCTTCTTGTGCTGACTAAAGAAAATTAGCGGTAGCCATGGCTTGCGCAATCCCCCTCACTCACTCCCTCGCGTCGGCTCCCCGCGCCGCCGTCGCCGCCGCGTCTCCCGCCACCGCCAAGCCGAAATCCGCGTCGCCGCTTCTCGCGGGCAGCGCGGGGCTCCGCTCATCCCGCGGCCCGATCTCGTCGGCGGCTGTCAGCGTGTCTAGCGCGGCGCCGTTGACACTAACGGGCGGCGCCTCGGGGCCACCGCGTGTGACTATGGCGAGCGCGTACATCTGCCGGGACTGCGGGTGAGCGGTTGCGTCTCATTGTTAACATGCCGCCTAGAGTTGACTCAAGAGTGTCTTCTTCGAGCGCGTGGAATATGCATGTGCGTATCCGTGTTCCCTTTCATGCGCATACCCCTTTCATGTACATCCCCGTCTCCCTCCCTGCGAGCATATCCCTGTCCCCCTCACTCCCCCCTTGCGCGCGTGTCCGTGTTCCCCACCCCACCCCTTTCACTTGCGTCCCTGCCTCCCCTCCCTGCGCGCGCGTCCCTGTCCCCTTCCCCTCTTTCCCTTCTCCCTCCCCCCTTCTCCACGCTCTTCCCCGTCTCAACCCCTGCGCGCGCGTCTCTCTCGCACCGCGCGCGACTCGCTCTGACGTTCGGCAGTTACATCTACAACTCGCGGACACCCTTCGAGAAGCTTCCGGACTCCTACAAGTGCCCAGGTGAGGCGCCGCGAGTCGAGAGCCCAGGTGCGATCTCCAAGCGGTAGTTTAACTTAATCAGGTACCAGGGCGCGTTTCCTAGACAAGCTTGTAACAACCTTGCAGTAGAGGTGCGATACGGTGGGTGGAGGCCGCGAGTTGTAAATGTATGCATGTACTTCCCTCATGTTTGGAAGCTGCAGCTCTTCGAAACACGAGTCAAGTTGTAAAAGTATGCATGTACTTCCCTCATGTTTGGAAGCTGCAGCTCTTCGAAACACGAGTCAAGTTGTAAATGTATGCATGTACTTCCCTCATGTTTGGAAGCTGCAGCTCTTCGAAACACGAGTCAAGTTGTAAATGTATGCATGTACTTCCCTCATGTTTGGAAGCTGCAGCTCTTCGAAACACGAGTCAAGTTGTAAATGTATGCATGCACTTCCCTCATGTTTGGAAGCTGCAGCTCTTCGAAACACGAGTCAAGTTGTGAATGTATGCATGTACTTCCCTCATGTTTGGAAGCTGCAGCTCTTCGAAACACGAGTCAAGTTGTAAATGTATGCATGTACTTCCCTCATGTTTGGAAGCTGCAGCTCTTCGAAACACGAGTCAAGTTGTAAATGTATGCATGTACTTCCCTCATGTTTGGAAGCTGCAGCTCTTCGAAACACGAGTCAAGTTGTAAATGTATGCATGTACTTCCCTCATGTTTGGAAGCTGCAGCTCTTCGAAACACGAGTCAAGTTGTAAATGTATGCATGTACTTCCCTCATGTTTGGAAGCTGCAGCTCTTCGAAACACGAGTCAAGTTGTAAATGTATGCATGTACTTCCCTCATGTTTGGAAGCTGCAGCTCTTCGAAACACGAGTCAAGTTGTAAATGTATGCATGTACTTCCCTCATGTTTGGAAGCTGCAGCTCTTCGAAACACGAGTCAAGTTGTAAATGTATGCATGTACTTCCCTCATGTTTGGAAGCTGCAGCTCTTCGAAACACGAGTCAAGTTGTAAATGTATGTATGTATGTACCTGCCCATTGTTGTATGTATGTATACATGCCCATTGGAGGACATGGTGGGAGGAATGCATTCAACAACAATTACCACGCCCTCGGCTTCCACCCACCATACTCAACCTCGCCACCTGCTGCCATGTATCCGCCAACAATTCTCACTTCTTACACCCAGCAACACCCAATCCTCCACCTTCCCATCCCCGCTCACCCTTCACCCTCCCCGCCCTCCTCCCCTCCCCTCGCCTTCTTCCCCCCCTCTTTCCCCCATTTTCCTCCCCCCCCGTGTGTTCCGCCCCCAAGCGGTGCTTCAAGCCTTATACTGTGCTTGTGCTTGAAGTGCCGCACCCCGTTTGTGTTCCAGTGGTCTGAAAATCACCTGGTCGCACCCACTCTACCCATCTCCCTCATCCCCTCGACTGACACATCCGCCATCAGTCCCTAACCCCCCTTTCCCCGCCTCCTCCCATCCCCTCTCCTCTTCCCCCCTCCTCCGACCTCCCCGCTCCCCTCTCCCCCCTCCCCCACCCCACCCTCCCCTCTCCCCCTCCTCCTTCCCCTTCCCCGCGCACCCCTCTCCTCCATCCCCCTCCCCTCCTTTCCCTCTCCCCTCCCCTCCTCCGCCTCCGCCCCCGCCTTTCCCCCCGGTCCCCCTCCGCCAGTGTGCTCCGCCCCCAAGCACCGCTTCAAGCCGTACACTGCGCCCGTCGCCTCAAATCCAGCTTCTCTCACTCATTTTCCCACTCCTTTCCATGTTCCCCCTCCTACCCCCCTGCCCCGACCTTCTCTTCCCCTCCCCTCCCCTCCTCCACTCCCCTCCGCCAGTGTGCTCCTCTCCCACGCGCCGCTTCAAGCCCTACACTGCGCCCATAGCCTCAAATCCAACCGCCCCCACCCACTCTTTCCCTCCTTTCCCCCGCGTCGCCCCGCGCCTTTCCCCTCTCCCCCCTTCCGCCAGTGTGCTCCGCCCCCAAGCGGCGCTTCAAGCCGTACACTGCGGCCGTCGCCTCCAATCCAACTGCTCTCACCCATTTTCCCCCACCTCCCTCCCCCCCCTTTCCCCCCCCCAGTGTGCTCCGCCCCCAAGCGCCGCTTCAAGCCGTACGCGGCGCCCGTTGCGCGCAACGCCAACGACCTGGCGGTGCGGAAGGCGCGCAAGGCGGAGCTGCAGGGTGGGGGAGGCGGGTGAGTTGATTTGGGGTGCGGCGCGAGAGGTGGGGCGGAGGGGACGAAGGGGGCGGGGTGAGTTTGGGGTAGGGGAGAGAGGCGGGGAGGAGTGGGAGAGGGAGGGGACTGGCTGGGGGCAACGCCCACTATCCAGTGGTGCGGAAGGCGCGCTAGGCGGAGCTGCAGGGCGGGGGAGGCAGCGGGTGAGTTGACACGGGAGAAGGCGGATGGGGGATGGGGGGTTGGGTTGGGACTGGGTGCAACGCCAACGACTCGGCAGTAAGGAGCGCATGGTGCTGCTGCAGAGAGGGGGGAGGCGGGTGAGTTGGTGGGAAGGGGAGGGGAGGGGGGGGATGGGGGATGGGGAATGCGCGCGAGGGGGATGGGGTTGGGGGTGGGGTTGGGGGACTGGTGGCAACGCAAACGACCCGGCAGTAAGGAGTGCATGGCGCTGCTGCAAAGGCGGGGAGTCGGGTGAGCTGACACAGCAGAGGGGGGTGAGTTGGGGGAAGCGGGAATGAGCGGGAAGAGGGGGGTGGGGGTGGGGGGGGGAGAGGTTACTGGGTGCAACGCCAACGACCCGGCAGCAAGGAGCGTAAAACGCTGCTGCAGAGGCGGAGGAGCAGGTGAGTTGGGAGGGGAGGGAGGGGGGTGGAGGGATTGGGGGAGGGGTAAGGGGGATTGGACTGGGTGCAATGTAAACGGTTTAGCAGTAAGATTTGGGACGCGCATGGCGCAGCTGTAAACGGGGGATGGGGGGGGCGGTGAATTGACACAGCAGAGGGGGGGTGGGAGGGGGGAAAGAAGCGATGGGAGAGAGTGACGGGCTGGGAAATAAGGTGAACAGGGGGTGCAGGAAAGATAATGGCAGGGGGGGAAGGGATGCGGGGGAGGTGATGGGTGGGTGTGGAGGGAAGGGGACGCGTGGGCGCGATGGGGAATTGCCGTTAAGCACTCCTCTCGAAAGGTGCCTTGTGCCACTGTAACGTGGCGACTATCCAATCAAATCGAAAGTCACCTCGTGGAAAGAGCCATCAAACATGCCTCTGAAAAGGTGCAGAGGGAGAGAGGAGGTGGTGTGGTGGGTATACAGTACAGAGGGGCATAGCCCATTGCCACGGCGCCACAGGCCGTTGTGCTGATTCCTGCATCTTCTCTCCCTGATTCCTCCTGTTTCTCTTGTGCTGTCTCATCAGCTCCCCCCCTCTCTTCGTCTACCTCCTTGCCATTCAATTCGTGCTGGTCCCTCATTCCCATGCTACCCTTTCCCCCATTCATTGTTACCTCCTCACCCTTTTTCCCACTGCCCTGTTTCTGAGGCGCCACAAAAGTATTCTACCCCATTCAATTCCTCATTCCCTACTACCCAAGCCCCCATTCATTGCTGCCTACTCACCCTTATCCCCACTGTCCTGTTCCCCATCCCCCTATCAGCGACTCGCTCCCTGTGCTGGTGGCAGGCATTGTAGCAGTGCTTGCTGGTGTAGCTGTCTACCTTAACTCAGCCTATTGAATACTGCTGTAATCCAACTTAGGGTTGCGCATGCGCTGCTGCACTTGTTGATTCATTATAGTGAATTCAGTAGTTAATCGGTAATTGGTTGTGTTTCTTCCAGGAGAAAACAGTGGTACCACTGATATTTTGCAAGAATGTGGTAACCCATTTTTTGTCATGTTGATATCAAGAAAGCAAATATCGACCTTATGCAATAACGTAGTGAGGTTGGGATGTTCAAACAAAAACAACGCACAAGTTCTACTGTTTAAACAAAAAGCCAGTGGCATGTGAAGGAACCCATGATCCCAGTAAAATGCATGCTCACTTTTGCAGCTCAGCTGGGAACATCAAAATTGTTGGAAACAATGAATCTTAAACGCCTCTGTCGTGTCGAAACTGTCAGAATGAATGAAGCAGGAATGAGAATGAACAAAGGAGAGGGTTTCACTAGCAAGCAGTTGGATACATATAGTAAACCCTAACTGGGTTGTACTCGCTATAGAGCACCCCACTGCAGGCTAGATAATATAACATTCTGACACACCCCCATAGCCAAAGTGGGGTGTAATCAGCACAACAAGCAGTCATAGCAGTAGTTCACAATTTATGAGCAAAGCTAGAGGCAGTCACAGAGGGCAAGTGAGGAGGAGGAGGGCTGGCGAGAGGAGAGAAGATGGGAGGCGACGACTGAAGCTGCAGACACACGGGCAACAGAAGCGCTGGTGCGACTAAGTGGCTACCGGGAGCAAGTGCCCCGGAATACAGGAGTAACAGGCTCTGCGGCTGATCAGCAGCGGCAGGAGCAACGGACCCACGGGCGACAGGTGCAGCAGGCTCTCTGAGCTACCGGCGGCCACTAGAACCCCGGAATACAGGCGCTGCGGACGACACGACGACAGGCCTCCACTCAACCTCCCCCAACTGTCCCACACACCCCCCACACACCCACTGCTTCACCCCTAACTCCACTTGTACGTCACCCCCTCGTACCACTCCGACGGCTCCAACACATCCACCCCCCTCAGCGGCAGCTGCAGCAGTGGGAGACGGAGGAGGAGGAGGAGCAGGGGACGGCTGACAGAGACGGCACCCCCATACGCTCCACCCCCAAACCCTAATTCAGGAGCACAGGCAGCAGCAGGGGTGGGGCGTTGTCAGAAGTGCGGGGGACAGCGGGCGGCTCAAGGGAAGAGGAAACAGGGCGCCCACGGGCCTGGCGCAGCCCGTACGAACCGCGCGCGGGCGGCCCGAGGCGCGCGCTGGCCTGGCGCAGCCCGTACGGGCCGCGCGCGGGCCTGGCGCAGCCCGTACGGGCCGCGCGCGGGCCTGGCGCAGCCCGTACGGGCCGCGCGCGGGCCTGGCGCAGCCCGTACGGGCCGCGCGCGGGCCTACGCAGGTCGCGCGGGCCACGACGGGCGACGGGGGGCGACGCGCGGGTCCCCGTCGCCCGTCGCAGCGCCTCCCGGGGGCGACGCGCGGAGTGACGGGGCAGAAAGCCGCCGCGCGCCTCGGGGCGCACGGCGGGCAGAAAACCGCCGCACGCTCCGAGCGCGCGGCGGGATGAAAAATCCGTCGCACGCCACGGGGCGTGCAACACACAGAGTAGCAGTAGCAGCGGAAGCAGTTAGGTGGTGGGCCCACCCACAGGATCGACCCAGGAGGGTCGACCTGCTCTGGTACCATGTCAGAATGAATGAAGCAGGAATGAGAATGAACAAAGGAGAGGGTTTCACTAGCAAGCAGTTGGATACATATAGTAAACCCTAACTGGGTTGTACTCGCTATAGAGCACCCCACTGCAGGCTAGATAATATAACATTCTGACAGAAACACCGCACCAGAAGCGAAGTAAACCATATCGAAGCAAGCGCGAGTCAACCCTCGGAGGTTGAGAGGTTGCTGGAGGTTACGCGAAAGTCAAAGATCAAGCGAACTTTGACCTGACAAGCGCAGCACGACAGTTAAGGACACACAACTGACTCGTTACAAAGCAGTTGCCCGAGTCGTACTGTATCGAACCGCAACAGCAACAGTAAAGTAGTTACAACCGTATCTTTTCGTATTCCTTGTACTATTATATATTCTTGTATCTCTTTGCTATAATCAACTTACTTTGCCCTCACATACCAGCGAAAGGTGGTTCATAAGTTCTTTATTAAAGCTTCCGCTACTACATAGTTCCTACCCCGAGTTTACCCCTGAAAAGATCCTAAGGGCTTTTTCAGCCCAACATGGTATGAGAGCTAACAGGGGAAACTCCACCACTATCAAGTCATCAGAAGCATTACAAGACATGGCAACACAGAAGGAAAGGAGTTCCTCTAACGGTTCTCCTGGCACTACTCCTACTCCACCTCCAGCCTCTGGCCTGCAGACAAAAAAGGGCACGGCAACTAAACCCAGGGCAACATCCACTGAGACCCCTGCGAATCAACCTGCCAACTTCGACCAGAGTATGATGGAGAAATTCTTCTCCTTCATGTCCTTCTACGAGCAGCACCAGCAGTCGGCACCTGCGCAGTCAAACAACAGCAACAACAACCATGAGGCGACTCCAATGAGTCTCGACGGCTCGTCATATGCGCGCGGAAACCAGCAACAACCTACCTTTGCTCCGTACGAGCGCGGATCAATCAGTTTCATGCCACACCCGCAAGCTTCACCTGGACAAGACAAACCACTGGACGCCTTACAAGTTCAATCGCAATTCGCGCACGTTCTGAAGCTGCAAACGTCAAGACCTTTCGACGGAAAGGACTTCTTCACCTGGTCATTCGAGTTCGAGTTAATGATGGAAGGCGCGCAGATACTTGGCTTCTTCGACGGGTCCCTGCAATACCCAACAAATGGCACACAGTATGAGAAACAGCAGTATACGTATCAATCGATGATGGCGTATACGATTCTGCTGAGGAACGTCACACCAACTCAGCAGCAGAACATACGCTCTTACCGGGGTTACGGCAACTCCGCTGAGCTCGCGTACAGCCACCTGAAGAGCCTGTATCAAGCAACAGACAGCGTAAATCAAAGCAGGTTAGTGGCGCAGTTGACAACGGTCAAAATGAAACCAGGAGAGAAAGGAATGGCGTATATCAGCCGATGTCGCGAGTTGCGCGACAAGCTTCTTCGATGCGGAGGGTCGATTTCTGAAGACGCTTTCGTGACAGTCATTATTGGTGGCCTCAGTCCTCAATGGCGCGCCACCAAAGCTATTCTCCGAGCCCACGGAAGAATCTCTGAAGCAGCACTCTGCGCCGAAATCCACGCCGAGCAGCAGGACATGGACCTGCAAGAAGAACGACACAGAAAGAAGACAACGGCATCAAAATTTGCTTTTCACACCCAGCGACGCTACAACAACAACAATCATCGACAACAACAACCGAAGCCCGTACCTCCCTTCTGCCACATCTGCAAGACTTCAGGGCACCCGCGCACGCACTGCCCGAACCGTCAACAATCAACGACTCCGCAGCGGCAGCTTCAAGCAACCAAGTCGCATCAACACAGGCAAACCCCACGACTCAGATTCAAGCTTCAACGACCTCAACAGGACAACCTGCACAAGGAGCAAGAAACATCGTCAGCTGCATGGCAAGACTGAGTGACTCCTGCATCACGGAATCACCACCGTACTACTCACCAGAAGAACAACTCGACGAAACGACACCTCGCCGCGAGTCACTTCAACCGAACCCGACATACGCCGCCATCGCCCAAAGCGAGCCATCCGGGAAAGACACATGGTTCTTCGACAGTTGTTGTGGACAGCACATGTGTTCTTCAGGACGCTTCGTGCAACGAGAGTACCAGCTTCAACGAGAAGTCGTCATCACCGTCGCCAACAATCAGAACCTGCGCACACGACGACAAGGCGTAGTACAACTTCAGTCGCGAGAAACGAACGTCATCCTACAAATGTCCAAAGTTCTAATTGCAGAAGGCCTGGGCTACAACTTACTAAGCATCAGCCAGTTGATGGCGAAGGGTATTCATCTTGAAGCAGACAGCACAACTCAGGAGTTCAAGCTGTATCACGGGAGAGGAGGCCTCTACATCGGGAAGGCGGTCCTCAAGAACAACGTCTTCGTTCTTGACTTCGTTCCTGATCTTGGCACGGCCGACAGAGACGCCATTGTAAACTTCACCAACTGGACACATCCTCCAGATCTTGATCCAGACTTCAGTCCGGGCGGCTTCTGGTATTCACACACCATTCCTGAAACAGAGAGAACAAGAGCGTTAGCAACGATTCAACAGTCGGCAGCAGCAGAGACAACATCGGCAGCAGCAGAGACAACATCGGCAGCAGCAGAGGCAACATCGGCAGCAGCAGAGACAACATCAGCAGCAGCAGAGACAACATCGGCAGTAGCAGAGACAATGACAACAGCAGCAGGAACATCAACACCAGTCGCCGGTCCTTCAACGGCACCGCCCTTCATCGACGACACGCCACCGACACCCGCGCAGCAGCTCAACCCGGCACGACGAGAAGTTCACCGAAGCGCAAACGTCACCGCCGGCTTCTATTCGAACTCCGATATGTACCGCCGCTCACCCGGACACCGCGCCAGCGAAGGAACCTGGCACGCAAGAATGGGACATCCGAGCCACACAGTGTTAAACAACACAATAAGAGCAGGAGTCCTCGACAAAGACTCTCTTCTGCTAACTGACGGCAGAGAACTTCAACGAGGTCAAGGAACATGCTTCACTTGTCCCGAAGCAGACTTAACGCATCAACCGTTTCCATCTCACCACAATCCAAGCGCACCAGCTTACGCACCACTCGAAAAGGTGTACAGCGACATCCTGTACAACCGCGAGCCCGGACAAAACGCCTACAACTACACGATCACCTTCATCGACGCCGCGACCAGATACGTCTGGCACGTCAACCTACCAAGCCGCGACATGGCCTTCGAAGCGTTCGTCGCGTGGCTTCCTGCAGCAGAAAGAGAATCAGGTGTAAAACTGAAAAGTTTCCAGTCAGACGGGGGAGGAGAATA